AGCTTCCGTTTTGCCTTTCCTCCCTCACCAGTGTCTTCAATGCCGCCGCCTCCCCCGTCTCTGTCCCGACTCTCGGAGGAGGAATTAAGGGAGCTGGAGGCAGAAGGCCGACGGGGCCTTGAGGCCAGGCTCCAGTGTCTCCAGAATATTCACACCCTACTGGATGCTGCCATGCTCAACATCCACCACTACCTAAGCACTGTTGCAACGCTCACGTAATGGAGCCTTCTTTTAGTGTCAGCCACATATTTTCTGAATTTTGAAAATATAGTAGTTTTTTTTATTTTCCTTGTGCCCCTGTGTTCTCCACAGTCCTCCTCAGCCTGAAGGTATCACTGGAGAATCCAGCAGGACAAATCATGCTGCTTCATCTCCTGCGGCTGACAGTAGCAAGGACAGCCCTAGACAGGAAAAAGACTCCCAAAGATGTAAGTATTGTTACAAATCACATGTACAAAATACTTTGAAGACAACCAAGAGGATTACATCACAGAATGTGGGCTTTAATTGAATATTCCTTTTTTAAGCTGAAGGGGAGGACAGAGACACTGTTTCCTTTGAGCCAACAGACTCCACTCCTGTTGATTTGGACATAGAAGGAACTGAAGAGATTCAGGAAGGAGTGGCAGTAGAGGATGGAGAACCCAACACCGCTGAGCTCAGGCGTCGCCGTCTTCGCAAATTAGAGACGTCTTCGCCATCATCCTCACCCCCCCCTGACAACTGATCCATGTGCTCTGCCTTAAACATAATGCCCTGGACCAACGGGAACTCTGAGCTGACTTTATTGTTGCTTTTGTTTCTCATCGTCTCTATTTCTGTAGGCGCTTGCCTTCCACAGATTTCTATTGTGTAGAGTTGGACTCTTGGCGGCTACTGAGGGATGCAATGATCTGTACTGCTTGTTTCAGAAAGCAATAGGCCACCTTTTTTCTTCGGTAGGATCATTACTACAATGAGAGTCCTGCAGGTGTTTGTAAATTTTAATCGAAAAAGTTCTCATTTTAATTTAAGATCTGGTCAATTTGAGAGACACATTATTTGGATTTGTGTTTGGTAGTTTTACTGTTGATAAGGTCTTGCTTGTACTTTTGAATTTTGTTTATTTCAGCGTTCTTTAGTATAAAATTGGCCCAAATCCTTACATTAGTATGTAATAGAGCATTGGAGAAATCAAATCTAGGGAAGTGAATCAACTGCAACAGCCACAGCTTTCCTCTTCATCCATCCCTACCCTGTTGCCACTACAGATGTTGTAACATATTGATCCATCTGGATGTGTATATACTGTATAAAGAGTTTTAAAAGGTGATCTCTACATGATGCTGAATAAACTGAAAGACTTAAATGGTGCTGGCACAACAGGTGTGTTGGTTTGCATGTTCACAAACAGGTACTATAGTGCTGAGTCTTGCCAAGGATCATGAATTCACTCAATGAATAAATGCACATTTACATCAGGGCTACACTTACGCTAACTTTTACGACTTTTCATTTAGTCTTTGCACTTTGCATTTTCTAACTTAATTTGAATTTATTTTGCTTAATTGTTTTTGTTTTTTTAATGTCCTGGCTTTTGGAACCCATTTGGAAAAGAAGAGAAGCCATTTTAACACTTCAGTCAGGTAGTTTTAGGTTGTTTTGTAGTACTTGAAATCGGTCTTAGTCTCAAGAACACTTTTTAAAGGTCTCTGTCTCGTCTAGGAATCTCTCCTCTTGTCTCTGTCTCAGACTGGGCGGACTCTGGATTTTAAATTAAACCACCACTGACAGGCTATTTTTCCACGTCATCACTGTGATAAGAAGGAAAATACAGCTTTCTACAACAACAATATTTCAATTCAATTGTAGTTAGATTTTTATCCCCAGGTTACGGCAGCAACCTTCCCAGTGTTACGGTCTAAGTGAGTGACATGCCCGCTGCACACCAGTTGATGATTTTTCACTGATATTTATGGTCTTGGTGTCGTCTCGGTCTCACCCTGCCTTGGTCTGGACTTGGTCCTGATCCCTTAATGTCTTGGTCTCGTCTCGGTCTAGGAGCACTCTGGTCTTGGGTATGTTTTGATCTCGGTTAGAGTGGTCATGACTACAACACTAGTTTTAGGTTTGCTCTACTTAAACAGGAAACATAATCATAATCAAAATCATTTGGCAAAAAAACAAAATAGAAAAGATTGTCCTTGGTATTAATACTTTTATGAAGTCAAAAAGCTCCAGCAACACTTGTAGTCTGACATGTTTCGGCTTGTGACCTTCATCAGGGTCATGAGCCGATGACTGAAGCTCAAAAGCTTAAACGTGTCGGCCTAATAAATGTATTAATATTGATCTTCATACTACACGTGTTGCTGGAGCTTTGGACCTCTTTAAGCATTTTACTCTCCATGGACCTTGGTAGTTGGTGAAGTTGTGCTGGAAACCGTCCTCTAATTCTACTTTCATAGATGTCATTCTTGTATGGTAATGTGTTTTTTTCTGACATGACATGTTTTGTTATTTCTAAGCATGTTCTCTCTGTTTTTGTTCCAATTACTTGGAAGATTTCAGTTCCATTTTCCCCTTAACAAAGAATTGGAACCATAAATGCAGCAAAGGGTAAACCATGTACTTTCAAAATGTACGCCTTAGTGTTACTAAACGGATCATTAAAGGCACAAAAAGAGTAAAGTCTCACAAAAAAAAGATTGAAAAATCCAAGGGAAACACACTTCGTTAGCTCATTATGTATAAATTAGTGGTAGTACACATCCTGGGTCACACTGCTTCCCACTACATGTTAAACTCAGTATTTAATTAACCTTAATATTTATTGTTAAGCAAGAGGACACAAAGAGAACGATATGGTTTATATTTGTATGGCTCTTTGAAAAGTTATACACTATTAGACACTATACTCAGAGACTACTCTTTAAAAATCAATTCAATGTATCAAATAAATCACAGAATGATTCGAACATTGATAACAATGGCGTTAACAAAAATGTTGCTGAAAATGTTGCCTTAGGGTTTGATATATCTTTGTAATAGTTGAATGCAAACACAGTTACATCAACTAGAAACTTAACCAGCTCTGAAGAGTGCAACCAAAGGACAAAACAGACTCCCGGGCATGATTAAGAACACAAACATTTTGATTGACTCAAAAGTTGTAGCTTCAGGCTGTACTTTAAGAATCCCGATGAACGCTCCATAATAAAAACAGACATGTAAATAAAACATCATTTATAGGCCATAGAGACGAGGAAGTTTTTTTAAAAAAGAATTTAATGTATAAACTAAAGTCAGTGAGAGTATATGAAAGTATGAGAAGTTAGAAACATTTTATGAGATGCCAAAAAGCAAAGTTTGGAAGTGTTTCTGTCAACTCGCTTCCACAAAGCTTTACAATGTGCCAGGTAAGATAAATCGAAAAAATGTAAATAATTGGATCAGTATCAAATACTTTACACAAAAAACTCCAGATCTTTGTAACTTTGAAAGGCTTTGCAGCACCATTATCCATCATAAGTGTGAAGCATTAATGAAGACTGTGAAACTTTGTAAGGGCAGATTTTGTAACACTGATCAGACTGTCATGGTAAACTTTAAAGCTTAAACAACAAGAAGAAAATATCAGAATCAAAAAGCGTTTTCCCTCTCTATGTGTTCTCAACGAGGATGTAAGAGGTAAGTATGTCATGGAAAGCTCTGTGCTGGAATTGTTAGCTGGTCACATTATGGGGAATCAATCATATTATTGTAATGTTTTTTTGCATTGCTATATAATAAAATATCAAGAATATCCCAACTTTTCCAACATCTTACGTTCTTTTGTTGTAGTCACACAAATTAGTAGTGACTATAACCAAAAATAACTTTCACTTTCAGGAAGCACGATTGTAGGCAACTCTGTGATGCTGTATTTAGGACCAACTTTTGTCAGCATGATGAAAGTGTTACAAAAGTGTCACAATGAAAACATCAAGCGTTATAGTGTTGTGTGTTGCTTATTGAATTTTTTTCCCAGTAAGGGGAAAAAAAATAATAATTCCCACAATGTCTTAAAGGAACGAGACTGTTGTGTTTGTGTTCAGAAAACAGAGTGGCCTGGGGATCTGTGTTAATGTTCTCGTCTACCTCTTAACAGGAAAGCGAATAAGCTATCTTTCACCAATTCATACTATTCTTCTGAGACAAAATAGTTGAATGAGCTGTATCTGAAACTTCAAATACTGTTCAAAACACAACATATGTTCAGATGTTATTTAAGTAACCCAAAAAATCCAAAAACAGATGCCATTGCTGTTTACATGCAAATGTGAAAAAAAAGAAGTCACACTTGAGGCACCATACCGTCACTGAACAGTACTTCCCAGATATCAGCTTTAAACATAAATACACTTTGAAGTCATGCTTTAACTTATTAAAGGAAGAATGTGCAACATCTTACACATGAATACAGCAGAAACCAGGTATATCCTCTGAACATATTTCTTTAAGAGTCATGACTGTCTACAATGAGTGAAATTAGGGAGGTTTCCTACTGTCATTGCAGTTGCCTGCTTTGCCTGACAACAAGGTTTTTAGATCATTGTCATTCCGTGTAAATTTTCATGCTACGAGAAGCTACAAGCAAACTAAAAGCGCTACCATTAGCCTGCTAACACAACAAATGCAGGTTGAGACAAGGACAATATTGTCTGCCTCTTGGCACTTTGTATTTCATTTTGGTGTGTTCCAATTTGATAACTCCTTTGTGCAAACGTGAGGGGAGAGGGATTGGAGGTGTGAGTGTGTCGCTATAGGAGAGCAGAGGATTCAGTGTGGTGGAGGTGTCACCAAACCAGCAGTTTGTTTTGGTTTCATGCCGGTGCTCAAAGGCAACAACTACTGGATCAAAAAGTCGCACATTCTTCCTTTAAAGTGCATTTATTTATGTATTTACTTTTTCAATGGGGGACTCTTAAACTCATTCACACATTCAAGTGTAGCAGTCAAAAAGAAAATGGGATATACTGTCAATGTTGAAACATTTATTTCACTGTTCTGCAAAAACAACATAAGCATATTTGATTCAATTTCAGGCAAGTTTTTCCTTTCCTTCTGTCTCTTTGATATTTATCCAGGAATACATTTTTCTCTTCGTCTGTAATATCTTTTTGATATGTATCCACATTGGAGGTGTTGTGGCTAATGGCTTTTTGTTCCTTGCCTGCCCAGTTTGATTTCATTGATCAAAGCCTCTAAGACATTGTGGAGGCATGTAACACACATATGCAGCCATACAGTCTATGGTTGGATGAGATTATAACATAGGTGGTCAGGGAGCAAATCAATTCACATTTTCAATTCGAGTTTGTGGTGCACAGGTTTTAAAAGCTGCCATCTTCACTTCATGGTTGCACAATTTCCCTACATGCTTCTGTTTTCGACAACTTTTACTTTTCATTTATAAAAAAAAAAAAAAAAAAAAGAAATAATACTTTATAATAACATGATTACTATTGCTGATGGATTTGGGGGTTTTGTTAAGAGCAGCATTAAGAAAGTAAACATCTCTTTCTGTGAAACATATATCAATGCGTGCATAAATAATGACAAAATAAATAATGGAATAAAAAAAAAAAACACCACAAAAAAAGGATCAACTAAACACAAGAGCAATAGTCTTTAAGCACCCTCAGAAAAGGACAGGTTGAGTTTGTTATTGAATTGTGTGATGCAGAGGAAGACGGGGACATCACTTAAATGATGTAAAGAGGACAGAATGGCTGTCAAAAAATATTGTTTCAGTTAGGAAGTATAAAAAAACATGTTATGTCTACACTATAACACTTACTTTTGTGAGTGCATTCAATTGAACATTGATGTACTGCAGAATGACTACAGGGACATACAGGGAATTAATAGAAGTTGCCCTGTGCAGTAGATTTATATATAAAAGTATTGGGATAAGAAATTAGCAATTATCTTTGGACAGCCAGTTATGATGAGCTTTAAAGATAACACTCCCATCAAACTGAGATTGTGTTCTTTTTTGTGTCTTTTTCCATGTAAGCAAAAGGAAGACCATGGAACTACAAAAATGGAAGACAGCAAGAAAGGCAACATTCTAACCTGGACAAATCAAACGTATTGGCCCGATAGAATCTTGCTGTATACATGAAGAATTGAGACAGAATATTACAGTGGGCATGTGCACAATAGCACTGTTACTGTGACATTCAAAGTTCACCGCTAGATAATCATTTGGTTTTAACCCAAATCTAATAGTTTTGTAAATGGTCAGTTAACTTAAAGGCAGACGGTGTGTTTCTTTACACAACATGGATGGACTACAAAAATGATCTCCATCATCAGGTATGACTTGCTTTGAGGTGTGGTGGTTTTCTGTAAATGCAGAGAGACCCTGCACTCTGCTTAATGTGCCGCGTTCAGGTCCTTTCCGGGGCATCATAACGCTTTGGGCATTAGATGTGTGGCCCCCAGCTAATGAAACGTTGGAAGGGTTTGAGAAAACTGTTCTATGCATCAGAATCACACTTACAAAAAGGAAGCTACATTATATTAAATTGTGGAGGAGGTACCATCAAATCCTATTCACACTCCCTTGAAGCAGTCACAGTTTCTTCCTGTCTAGCTTATGTGTGCAGGTCTGCATGCATTCTCTGTATGATGAGTAGAGAAAATAAGCATGGATGATATAGTGTCAGTTATTTCAGGTCTCTATTACAATTTTTATGTCTTTTATAAATGTAAGTTTTCTTATGAAGTATACAGTATATATATATACACACATATATATATATATATATATACACACAGTATAGAGCTCAGAACTGCTACCTGAATAGGAAGGTGCTACAACAGATAAGGTGCAACATAACAATCAGTTCTTTGTGCACCAAGGAAGAACAATGGTTCAACTGCAGCTTTGGATGAGGTGGTTTACGGCCCATTCCAGGTGGATACGTGCTTGTTGAAAAGCACGTCATCGATGCCTGCTGTGTGCCATGAAGAGCAGCACCTTTCGTATGCCGCTTAGGCGATCTTTCAGAGAGGTAAGGGCCAGGAAAGGCAGCTGGGCTCGCCCTTCTAACGGAAGAACAGCTAATAACCACCAACACCATGAAGGACCATTCGGACTGGCCTAAAGGAGGAAAAGAGGGAGATGGTCTGAATAACACAACAAATTGAAGCATTTTTAAACATAATATTTGGGCCATTTTCCCCTTCATTAGATAGGTCGGGAAAAGGGAAATGGTAAATTGACTACAGTTTGTATAGCGCTTCCCTTTCCCATTTTTTTCCACATATAACCATAGCCGAGTTCTGAAATTGGCCCATATTTCATTCGCATGAAAAGTTTTTTTTTTTTTAAGAAAACAAAACATATTTGCAGAAAATTAAATTTGCATGTGCTTGCATACCTGAAGCACCAAGTCTTTCCCAGGTATGGGTCCAAAGTGTCCTTCAATGCGTTCCTTCTGCTCCGTCTTCAGGGAGTTGACCCACACCAGGGCCTGGTCGTACACTGTATCGTGAAGTGACTGCAGCTCAATCTCTGCCACACCCTCCACCTACACACAGAGAATCACAGCTATAACATCTTCCTTTAATCCTCCATCAAGTCATCAAATGAACTATCTCCACAAAGGTTCTGTGTCTTAGTCTACGTCCCCCTTATTACCTTAACATCCTCGAGGTACTCTATATCAGCGGTATTGTATCCATCCCTCTCGCTGTGCTGAATAACTTTAAACCTCCGTCTGCCAATGGTGTCCACAACTGAACGGCCATCGGAGAAGAATTTCACATCGCGAATCTCCAACAGGCAGCCGAAGTCTGCGAATCTAGAAACAAGAGGGGAAATGTTAAACTTCCTCGATACACACAGATGCACGTATATTCTTGAACACATAACCAACGCCTTCCCAACACTTACCCTTTGAGGTTGTCTTCCAGACACATGCCAAAACGGTTGGTCCCTGTCTCCATGCATCGTCGGATCATCAGTCTGTAGCAGGGCTCGAAGATATGGAGAGGACAGGGCACAGTGGGGAAGGCCATGGTGCACACAAATATAGGCACATTGTTGTTAAGACTGGAAGAGACAAGAAGGAAGACGAATGAAGGAACTCTCAATTTTAGAGTTTTTCAAAAGGAAGTAATTTCTAGCCAATCAGATGTCTCCCTACTTTTCAACCAATCAGAAGCACACACTTTATGCACATTCCCTCAATTGGATAAACATGCCTACAGTTTACACAATCAAGTGGCTGGCAGCCTTTTTTCTGCTGATTCGACATGTTTAATCAGCGTCGGTCAGCCCGGTTGGTGAGAGGAATCACTCTCGAATAAATAATAAAGGATATTTCACAAGCTGCACTACAGGAAACGCAAAATTATTCTACCGACCATGGAAAGTTGAAAATGAAAAAAATAATGAATAAATGAATACATAAAACTAACAGATATCTTACAGGAAACACAATTGTGTTATGGGTAATGTCAGACAATAGCCATCACTCGTTAAAAAAAAAAGAACAGAGGACACACACTTACTTTGAGAGCTCAGCCACCTCTTCCTGATGGATTTTCTGTCTTTCTGTGAGTTCAGTCGGAATATACTTAGATATCAGGTTTTCCATTAATACTGTCTTACAGTATTGCCTCTTGACCAGGTACTGTAGAGAGATACACACAGATGCCATATCAGTTATATGTTTTGTAGCACATAGTAAGTGTTGCTCATGCTGTGTTAATTCTCCATGTAAGGCCTTGGGGTTCATACTGTGTTTCCATGTTGCATTGAGATTATGTGACTGAATGTACCCTAGAGACTGATGTGTTTTTAAACTATAATAGATTATAAAACCACATACCTCAGACAGCTCCGCCTTACAGAGAGGACATTTTGGGTTGTGGTCCAGACATCTTTCCAGACACCGAAGACAGAAAGTGTGACCGCACGGCGTTGTCACGGGCTCATAGAAAAGTCTAGGTGGGAAACACAGAAACAAACAACATCTCATTATCTGTTTATTTACCTGTTGTGTTTTGACATTTTTAATTTAGTTTCACTGTTAATAAATGTTATGGAGTTTCAAAACTCACCTCATACAAAGAGAACACTCCAGATCGGCTGGGTCAAAGAAATCCCTGACATCAGGACTCATAGAACCAGTCACCTCTTCTAGCTCTGAACGGAGAGGATATCAAACAAACGAACAATCAGACAAATATTCTTTTAATGGAAAAAGTTATTGATGATGCTTGGCTACATGCATGATGGTCCACTTAGCAAAGCTCACCAGACTTGGATCTCTTTCTCTGTTGTCGTGCCCCTTCCACCTCGACCTCTGTGCATGTCCGTTTCCTTTTAAGAAGTAAAGAGTGATCCAGCCTCCTGACCTCAGGCTTTTCCTGACCTTTGACGTCACTGTCATCTAACCTGTTCAGTGCGGGAGGAGCAGAAGCAGGGCTCGACTGTGATGACAACGAAGTTTGACTGTTGGGCTAAGAAAAGAAAGGGATGAAAGTTCAGGAGAATTAAAACCAATTATATTTAATTACATGCATTAAAAAAATGTTTTAAAAAAAGCTACCAGTGGTGAAGCTCTCACCTGAGAGGGAGTGTTCATGTTTTTCATGTATGCTCGCAAAGAAATAATGTTGGAGTAGTCTGAGATCTGTTCAGGGACTTGATCTGTAACAGGAGCCAGGAGGTCACCAAGAAGCTGAGAGAAGACAACAGACACTGATGGTGTTATTCTGAAGTCTGCTCATTTCGCTTGATTTATCATTATATCTCAATTGCTAAATGTTGTTTGATCTCTCGCCCTTACAGAAGGGCAAGCAATAGAAAACAAAGAAAATAGGAGGTTGTTTTTTAGTGTATTCTGAGACAGTGGCACTCATTGGAGCTATGTTCATTCTCAAAGAACTTCTCTAACAATCCTATGAGATCCCCTTGTTTATATTTCACCAGTATCTAATCTTTTAATCCAGTGAATGTTGCACTGTTAGCTTTTGTTATGTTCAGAGAGTGAAAAAACTCAAGACAATAAAGCTGGTTTAGATATAAAAACAGACATTTTTGGAAGGTAGCCTGATAGAATAAATACATGTTTGTGTCACTTTGATCAGTTGATGGATTTACCTTGTGAGCCTCGTTCTTGGCCAGTCTACATTCAGGCTCTAAGGAGAGACAGAGCAGGTACTCCCTCAGAGCTTCCTCTGTCCTGCCCAGTGACATTAGAGCCTGTGCCTTCCGAACATGACCCTGCAGGAATGTGGAAAAATGTGACTCATACGTCTACATGGGAGATTTTTTTCATTGACCAAACATAAGCATGACATCAAATATATTTCTATAAATGAGCAGTTAGTCTGCCTTACCTTGGACCAGTGCGGCATGAGTCTGCAGGCCATCTCGGCGTCTCTGAGGGCCTTCTCATAGTGTTTAAGACTGGAGTGAATCTGAGAGCGATTACTGAACAGTATGTGGTCCAAAGGGGCTGAGGAAAAGAGGAGGGGGTTTAATAATTTAAGCAATTCATCTGACAATAGCAGTAAAACACTACTTCATCAATCTTATCTGAAAGTCATTCCTTCATCTTAAATCCTTGACATACTCAATAACTCATGACCCTTATATTGTGGCAATTTTTCAAAACAAACTGCAGAATAGTTTTTTTAAGAGTCCATTTTGTGTTTAAAAAAACTTTCCACATTTACATGTTTTGTTTTATTTAGCTCATTTGCACCTGTTGTCACACAAAAAAATATTATGTAACATTACACTTCTTAATATATCAGTTAAATCCATAAATATAATAGACACTGCATAAAACACTATAACAAAATGTCCATTGGTATAAAATCAGATCAGCGTGATAAATGTGTGTGCGGGGCAGACATTAGTGAGGAAAGTTTTGGGCTGGTTTTAGCCAGAACTCCAGCTTTATCTTAAACTGTGCAAGATTTCCAGAGTTTCTAATGTCTGTAGGTATAGAGTTCCACTTTCTCACTGCTGTAATTGAAAAGGCAGATTGACCAAATATCCTCTTACTCAACTGTGACACCCAGTCCCCCCCCCCCCCCCCCCCCCGGATGCTAGAGTCCTCCCAGGCCAGCTCTGCCGCAGCTGGGTTGGGTCTGGCATTTTCCACATGTATGTGTAACCATACAATACAATCCAGGTCACCCACATTTAGGGTTTCATAACTTCAAACATGAATACAAAGGTCACCTTGGGGCCAGGGCATTACATAAATTAGCCTACTGTATATTTATAAACTATGACAGGGTATGAGAGAACTGAGAGAAGATTTAAGTTGTTAATGTGTTAATTGCCAATTGTTAGAGCATGGGGATTCCACCTATTTTCAAAAGAATTTTTAAGGAAATTTGCAAATTCCTCTCATAAAGATGGTTAATTCTGAATGTCAATTTGTTGTATGCTTAAAAATTAATCATCATTTTGACAGCTTAGGTAAAATGATTCATATATTGAGCATCATTTATACTCAGTTACATGAAAAACACAAGTGACTTTGAAAGAATTCTGATTCTGGTAGAACATACTGTGTGCACACGGTCTGCAACACATAACAAATATAAAGATTCTTCTTCTTCTCAGAGCCCTGATACTTATTAAAACACGTTTCTTTATCTGAAAAACTCAAGTAAGCTATAACTTCACAAGAAGCTCCACATTTTAACCAGTATCTTATACAGCATAACAAATGATGTCAAATTTTTTTTTAAAACTAGTCAAGAGACGAAAGAACACAAAACAGGAGTTAAATGTAACTCACTTTATCCTGCTGATTTGCAGTTTACTATCAAATTGCAGCATATGTGATAGAAACAAGTGTAGGCTACTTTGTCTAAGTATGGAGGCTACATGATGTAAGAGGTCATGATATGTAGGTCATCTGACAGTTCAATCATTTCACCTACTGACCGACTAAAAAGTTCTGCGACTCCTCTGATCAACAGTGCCCCTAGTGGTGACCTATATTAGTACCCTTGACCCACATTTTCCTGAATCATTGTTTGTCGTTACACAATATGGGATGTGAGGGAGGCGGGTGACGTGCTTACGCAATGTTTGGTTCACTAGCACAGCCTGCATAACACTATTATCTAATGTAGCCTAGACGGCTAGTGACTAAAGCTATATGGCTTATGTGTCAGACACTCATGAAACAAAGTTATTACTATGTTAGACTTTCATAATGAGCAAAAACTCATAACATTGAAAAATAACTAAAGTCGTGAAGTTAGAAAAAAAAAAAAAAGTCCGGAGAAGTTAGAGAAGCAAAAAAAAGCTCTGTCGTGTCTAATAATGGATGAATTAATATTCAATGCTGAATCACAAATTCTCATTTAGCCTGTAAAACAACATACGCTGTCTTACCTATCAATATAGCTTCGTCGTATTTCTCCAGCGCTGCTTCAACCTTCTTGTCGGCATACAGTCCGTTGCCCTCTCGTCTCAGCCGCCCGGCTTGGTGTAGGGTCGGGAACCATTTGGCCAACAAGTTGCTGAGGACCACATTGACCCTGTAGCTCTGGACATCTGCGACCCTGGAACTGTCCCTGCACTCCCTGCAGATCACTGGCTGATTTCTCTCCTTCTTCTCTCTCTCCAGACACTTCTTACAGAAACAGTGTCCACATGGCAGGGTCACTGGCTCGAAGAGAAAACTTAGACATATCCGACAGGAGAAGTCTTCGTACCCGCAACCCGTGGCACCAAAGTCCGGGCACCCAAGTGCCTCTGCCGCCTCTACTCTACCCGCGCACCTGTTATGACTGGCTCCGATTTGTTGCCTCCTGATATTACCTGACATATACTGTACGAGGTTCTCCAGGTGGGTCGGTCTCAGCCTCTCTAGCTCAGACGCTTGTCGGTACACAGCAAAGGCTTCGGTGAATTTACCCCCGAAAGCGAGGGCGTCAGCCCGCTTTATCATCAGCTCGCACCGGCCCCCCGGATCTCTGAGACCCGCTAGTTGACACTCGTAGATATCCGCTGCCAGGTCGAAGTTTTGCAACTGAAAAGCCTCGGCTGCAAGCTGCAGCATAGTCTCACTCTCTGTCTCCATGTTCACAGGATTGTAGTTAAGTACATCCACTCAAGTAGCTACGCACGCAGCTTGAAGATACACTCCGTCCGTCATGGTCTGGTCCAGCATACACCGAAATAATTCTCAATGAAGCACAGGAAGGGGAAAAACAGTTATGTAAACGCTGCATCATGTGATGGAAACCACGTGTTCCCATTGGACAGGTTTAGAAAAACTGTTACAAAACAATCTGTCGGTCTGCCATGTAAGAGTTTCGGAGTCTGGCCTGGAGTAAGTTTGACCTGCATGTGGGAGTAGGTTATGGTACGGGTTACCCACAGGGTTTACCCTGATCATCTTGCTTGCCCACTGCCAGCAAACAGGGGACATTCAGTTAATGCAGATCCCAGAATTTTCTAAAAACTAGTTTCCTTGAGATTCTCGTAAAATAGATTGTCTATTTAGGATTAATGATTAAAAATGTATAATAAAAAGTATAATAAGACAAGTTAAGGCATGGAGGAAAGTGCAGTGTGCACATCGAACTGGTTAACTGATGTGCTGCTGTTCATTAGTAGTCTTTATGGGTGTGGACTTTTAGAAGCATTTCTGAAAAGGTAATGGTTCAGGAATATAACACATTTTAGTATTTGCATCAGAATATAGTTGTAGGCTTTGAGGACAGTTTTCATGAACTGCTCCACCCAACTCCCTTTTAAAATGTGCTTTTGTAAATGACTTTGTTAATGGGTACTTTGACACATTTTGATGCAATAATACCACTTGCTCTCACACCAAAGTGTCTTCTTTGTATACTTTTAATAAATCATCTTTCATTGTTTATCTCCACAAACATATATGGCTGGCAAACCTTATTACTGTGGACCACTTGTTTTTCAAATCCCTTCTCTGCTATTACTTCAAGACTAAATTATGAAGTTCACAATTTTTCTTTAATTGTGACTTTTTGTCAGGGTGGGTTTTAACAACAGTTAAGTTGACTCATCATTAGGCCAAATGTAGATGATTGGTTAAGGTCATAGTTTAAAGACGACATTTGCATAACCTAAAGAAGAATATCCCTTTGCCCAGATAATCAAAGCTGTTTGCGTAAAGGGGTTTTCTGGTGTATGATTGGAAATTAAAGCTCATGAGACAACCACTGATCAGGTCAGTAGTAGTGGTGTTGGATATATAGGTCAGCGGGTCTGCCCTGTGAACTGAACTCCACACAGACACAACCACTGACTGAAATACATGAAAGCAGACAGCGATAGAGAGACACGTCAAAACAGAAAAAAATGTCTTATATTGAAATGAGTACAGTGTTATGAAAGCACACAAACACACTGAACAAAGACACATAAACCAGTCCAAGACCCTCTTGACCCCTTCACACATTAAAAATGTGTTATGCATGTTTCTAAATAGGTCAACAATGCAGTCTAGCCAGGTCGACGAGCACATAATGTCTGGACTTTATTTAGTAGGTTGGAACCAACAGTTATCCTCAACGTCACCTCACACACTCCCACTTATGTGACTTGGCTGAAAGGCAATTTGAAGTGATGGATAACATGCTTGTAAGTTTTTAACTCAACATTAAGAGTAATTATGCCTATTAATGTATATATGGGGGGGGTTGCAAATTAGGTGCAGGTGCAAGAATATTGTTGGAAGTATTGAAATCTGTAAATGAAGATGAATTTGATGGGATTCCAGGTGATCAGCACAGTTCAAGTCAATAAATTATTCTAAAAGGGAATGTCATAGTGTACACGAAACTTAAAATATACCATTATTTTTTTCCAGATGACCTCTGGCACAAGCTTTGCAGCTGTCTCCAGATCTCCAAAACATCCACTGAACTGTATAATACACATGTCCAGTTAACAACACAAAGTGTAAAGGAGTGACGCAGTCTGTTGGACTTGTGATGCTGTATTTTGTATTCGGCGTAGTCATCGTGTGTTGTGGTGCAGTTAGGAATCCAACTTCTCTCATGTTGCACTCTGTCAATATAACCATGTCATAAGTCATGAGAGGCAGATAATCATCTTTTATAATACGGTCATTGAAAGTAGTACCATGAGCTTTACAAAATTCCACTGCATGTAAAAAATAAGACACAGGTGAAGTACATTCAGTCTTGTATCTGGAGAATGCTCCTCTTCTCCAGGTCATTCATCTCCTTGAGAATCAGAGCCGTATTGTAACGGAGCTCCTGGAACTTGGACAAAGGCACCTGGATAAGAAAACAAATATTTATCAAACAATGTAACACAGACCTTGATTTGCTTGTTACAACAGAGTTTATACGATGTGGGACCATCTCCTCTGTGACATTTTGACTACACATTAGTAGCATTAAGCAGCATCACTCATGCAATTACTTATTATTGTCTAATGTACATATGGAGTATGGCACCCTTTAACTAAGTAAAATACTGACTTGTCAAGGATACGATTAATATGGATGTAGAATGTGTCACTGTGTGTGGTCACTCTTTGTATCATTACTTAGGAGAATGTTTGAATGCTAACCAAACCAGTTATTCTAACATTACATTAGATGTACCTGGGTTTTCTCAGGCTGTGATGTCGCTACTGCAAGCAAAGGGAAAATGACAATGCTTTCTTCTATTTCAAGTCACACTCTTATGTCTTACTTATTTTAAATTGAAGATTGTGTCTTTCTACTGTAAGTTAATAGTCTTTAATAAACAGACAAAATATAGATAGTCAAGTGTAAAACACTTGAAGTGGACATTTTTTTATAAAGATTTTTATAATAGTAATTTTGAAAAGGTAATCCAAGCACCAGTATAAATTTATCTGCAGATATACGGTTCTGTCATAATTCATCAGACACACATTGGTTAGGCTGTAGTTTAAAAACATAATCTTCGCTATACTCCTGAGATTATTTTTTATGGAAATTGAGTTACATTATCCCAGTGGCTAACAACCAACTTCTTCCTACCAACAGCCCGAGGATAAACTTCAATGCACCCTACTGTATACAACTTACACTAACTATCTGTATAAAATGACTATTAAAAGGATATGCCTTGACCCCATACAAATATATATTGTGCCCCACACCTGTGTCTGGATGACAAAAGGAAGCAAATTACAAGAGTCAATGTTACTCTCAAAAACACATCCTACTCTAAGCCTCTCTCTACCATGGTTTTAAATAAAGAATATGGTCACAAGTCTTCAATAATTCTTCAATATGGAGGGATTAGACCAGGGCAAATATTTAGAAGGAAAGTGTATTGTTACTTCAGTATGGGGTTATCTACCTCAAAGCAATGAAAGCTCCCGTCTGATAGTTTCATCTGCATCAGAACAGAAGAGCGCAGGGCTCTGGATAAAGAGCTGCAGTAACAGAGGAGACAAACAAAGACATGGATTCATTACATGGAGTCTTAAATTAAAATTCACATTTACAACACTCTTACATTACAAATGATTTTCAACCAACTTCTTCTTTACCTAGTGGAAATGGCAACATCAACCCTCCATTTAAAGTCTTGCAGTGCGGGGAGGTGAGGATCATTGGTGGAGGTTGCTGTCTCTAGAGCTGAACGACTGTGAATGAGATGACACAGCAATGATGATATTTGTACAATTAATATAATAAAAAATATAGAAATGACAATGACGTTGAATGATGAGGCTTAGCCATTCTGCCAATAACCTTGCTGCAGAGGTGATAAAAAGAGGTAGACACTGGCTTTGCACACAGGAGGAAATAGTGCTGTGTGTGTTTGTGAAGCTGGGGCTGTTTGTCTACTCAGACTGTAACACTTCTTTTTCTCCTGCACTGCCGGATGTGTGTGTAAAATCACAACACTGGGCCAGCAATGTTTCATTCAGTGTAAAAGTACAAAAACAGCACAATGGAGGGTTTTAGATTTTCTAATGTCAACTTCTAGAATTCCATTCTAGATGTGGTAGTGAAATTTGAAAGTTGGAGAAGTGAAACAATTCTATGCTATATTTTCTGAACTGAATACACAAACTTTATTCAAAGGAAAAAAATGGGTCCCTGAAACACTGTTTGGAGCTAAAAGGCTACCAGGAGAGTTACATTTTCACTGTGGCGGCCCCCCCACCTTAACTTCTCGCGTAGCATTTTATCTTCAAACAGTGTTACAGGACCAAATTTTCCTCTGAGGACAGTTTGTGTATATAGTTATGAACATATACCACATAATCTGTACAGTTCTCCAACTTACAAAAAAACTCCATAGTGCACCTTTAAGGTGTAGCTGTTTTAATTAAGTTTTTGATCCGCAGCCACTTTCTTTTTCCATGGTTAAGTTAACATTTCTAACCTTCTATGAAAAAGATCCTTCATTTATTTAAATTAAATAAAGGCAGGGATGAATTCAAACAACAAGAAACGTACTCTCATCTAACACAGTACAAATACTCAAAACAAAAGCCCAAAAACATTTATATTAAAATGCTAAATAATTCAATTTAATCATGCAATTAAAACAGCAATTAATGCAAATCAACTCTCGAAATGAAGCAATTCATCGTGATTGAACAGAGCCATACTAATTGTAGTACTTGTGTTTACAGCTGCTGAAAGCAAGGAGGGCTGTCTTGTCCAAAGAGTAACGGACAACAGGAGCGGTGTCAAATTAGACAGGATGTCTGATATAGAGGAGCTGACAGATGTAGTGGAAAAATACTATCTGTCTGTTGTCTTCGTTTGACCTTAAAAGATTAGGATGATCGTGCGTCATTTAGCAATTAGAAACTGTTTCTCTGTATGGCCTTGGTCTGTATCTCCAACAGGAACACTCCTCAGGATCTGGGTACAGCATGACCTTAGATCAGTGTGCCCTCCTGACAAAGGAGTTTCTGTTGGTGTTCCTCTGTACCAGGTGCCTTATAGAAAGAAGCTTGCATAGATAAATCACCAGGCAAACTAGCAGAAGGCAAGCTGAAACCAATGACGATGTATCACTCATGTATATGTAATATACCTACACCCTGTGAAAGTATAAATATGCTCTACAACCAGGACTGCCCCGGGAATCTTTGATGCACTTGTGACTGATTTTACTTCTGTAGCTGATTACCCCCTTTTGCAAAATAACTTTTGACTATATGCAATAAAATACACAAAGACAAAAGACTTCGACTTGAGATCTTTCATTACCAACAGAAAAAATCCACAACACAGACTGTGGGGCTTCCATCATTAAGAAGCCAGGAGCTCTCTGACCTGTGTTCTGTACTAAAGGGTTGACTGGAAGGGAACCCAAAATATGTAGCAACACATCTCAAAAGGCTATGTGTTGTAGTCAGCCTCGGACAGAACAGCACCAACTGCATATGGTAAAAGAGACATTGGCATACGCTAAGAGACATTTTGGTGACATGCTGGTCTATGTTGGTTTGATGCTGGTCTATGTTGGTTTGATGCTGGTATTTGTTGGTTTGATGCTGGTCTATGTTGGTTTGATGCTGGTATATGTTGGTTTGATGCTGGTCTATGTTGGTTTGATGCAGGTATATGTTGGTTTGATGCTGGTTTGATGATGGTCTATGTTGGTTTGATGCAGGTATTTGTTAGTTTGATGCTGGTATATGTTGGTCTATGTTGGTTTGATGCTGGTATATGTTGGTTTGATGCAGGTATATGTTGGTTTGATGCTGGTCTATGTTGGTTTGATGCTGGTCTATGTTGGTTTGATGCAGGTATTTGTTGGTTTGATGCAGGTATATATTGGTTTGATGCTGGTCTATGTTGGTTTGATGCTGGTCTATGTTGGTTTGATGCTGGTCTATGTTGGTTTGATGCTGGTATTTGTTGGTTTGATGCTGGTCTATGTTGGTTTGATGCTGGTCTATGTTGGTTTGATGCTGGTATATGTTGGTTTGATGCAGGTATATGTTGGTTTGATGCTGGTCTATGTTGGTTTGATGCTGGTATATGTTGGTTTGATGCAGGTATTTGTTGGTTTGATGCTGGTATTTGTTGGTTTGATGCTGGTCTATGTTGGTTTGATGCTGGTATATGTTGGTTTGATGCAGGTATATGTTGGTTTGATGCTGGTCTATGTTGGTTTGATGCAGGTATATGTTGGTTTGATGCAGGTATTTGTTGGTTTGATGCTGGTCTATGTTGGTTTGATGCTGGTATATGTTGGTTTGATGCTGGTCTATGTTGGTTTGATGCTGGTCTATGTTGGTTTGATGCTGGTCTATGTTGGTTTGATGCTGGTATATGTTGGTTTGATGCAGGTATATGTTGGTTTGATGCTGGTCTATGTTGGTTTGATGCTGGTATATGTTGGTTTGATGCAGGTATATGTTGGTTTGATGCTGGTCTATGTTGGTTTGATGCTGGTCTATGTTGGTTTGATGCTGGTATATGTTGGTTTGATGCAGGTATATGTTGGTTTGATGCTGGTCTATGTTGGTTTGATGCTGGTCTATGTTGGTTTGATGCAGGTATATGTTGGTTTGATGCTGGTCTATGTTGGTTTGATGATGGTCTATGTTGGTTTGATGATGGTCTATGTTGGTTTGATGCAGGTATATGTTGGTTTGATGCTGGTCTATGTTGGTTTGATGATGGTCTATGTTGGTTTGATGATGGTCTATGTTGGTTTGATGCTGGTCTATGTTGGTTTGATGATGGTCTATGTCGGTTTGATGCAGGTATATGTTGGTTTGATGATGGTCTATGTTGGTTTGATGATGGTCTATGTTGGTTTGATGCTGGTATATGTTGGTTTGATGCTGGTATATGTTGGTTTGATGGTGTTCTATGCTGGTTTTAAACTGGCATTACTCACTTAATACATCTCATTATTGTATCTCAAGGAGGTATTTGTCTTCATCAGAAAACACAAAAAACAAATGTAAAGTCAACATACCGATTGCCGAAAACCACACTGGAGAAATCTGAGATGAAGTCTTCAGGTATCCTGATAGACAAACATCAAAGACACGACAGAGTCAGCATTTAAAGTTTCATTTTGTTGTATATAAGCAGGGGTTATAAAAAGCATCAAACATTAGGGGTGTAATAAAAAGATGACCCTTGCCTCAGTTCTCTTAGATTTTCTTTGAAGGCCTAAACAGCAACACAAAAAAATGTTATTTTAAACTTCTGTAAGCTGCAAATGAAAATTGATTATATCTCAAAATATAAAATTCCATGTTTCCTTGCGATGAAGCATTCCCCTGATAACAAAAAAATGAGAACACATTTTGACTTTTCATGGTAAGATAAGCATAGTACTGTGGTTGATAGTTGACCTCTGGCAGGCGTAACAGATCACTGTACGCCAAAACAACCCGACATAAGAACAGTTTCTTCCCCCAGGCTGTCACTCTGATGAACGCTAAACAGTCACAGAGTGTCAGACCTGTCACAGTGTAGGACCAGTAACCCTGCTATCAAGCACCCACCTTGAGTGTACATAAGGCTATTGTAACTATTGTTATTTTTCAATAACTTAATCATACTGAAATATTATCCTCTCACCAATCTATGCACACTGTGTATGCAAACACTGTCAAAACTCTACCTCATATATATTAACCATCTGTTACATAATTATATATATTTATGATCATGTTCATCTCAGCATTTTTTGCACTACTCACCACTGCACTATTGTCTTATTTAGCCTTGTATATATTAGTGTTTTTTTTTGCTTATATTATGTTTAATGTTTAACTTTGTACATTGAGAGCACAGTCACTGAAGACAAATTGTGTGTGTGTGTGTGTGTGTGTGTGTGTGTGTGTGTGTGTGTGTGTGTGTGTGTGTGTGTGTGTGTGTGTGTGTGTGTGTGTGTGTGTGTGTGTGTGTGTGTGTGTGTGTGTGTGTGTGTGTAAGCATACACGGCCAATAAAGCTGATTCTGATAAGTGGAAACCAATCCAACAGGGCTAAAACTTGCAAAGACAAAGTCATTTTCGACATAATGGTCACTAAGAAGTTGACTCTTTTGTAAGCAGTAAATTGTGCTATCAAAATCTTTTTCACAAAATGTCACTTTTCTGACATAGAGTTGCAAAAGGATACGTATTGTATATGTAAGGACACATAGGACATTCTAGTGTGCATAATTAACACAATCCTTATGTTTAAACTGAAATAAATGGCACAATAAATATAGGACACTATTAAGTTAATAATCCAGGTAAACCTCAACCATGGTACAGAACAGTGATTATAAAATGTGTTCATTTAAGCCTCTTTATCCTGTCTTTTACTAGGATGAAAAGTGTATGTAACAATTCGATATGACACTTCTATGGTCCTAAAGGGACATAAGTGCTGCAAGTGTAGTCATTGTTATTCATATTAAATGTGCTTTTACTGAGGTCACATCCAAATGTGTGCTGTGGAAAAGGCATTCTGCAGGATCAGTCAAGTCCCCGTCACGGACTGTCCAAACTTACATTTGTGTTGCTTTGTGAACTGACCTCCTGTTTTAGTGATGATGGCGGGATGCGGATTGCCTCGGACAGCACTCTGTGCATCCCAGCTACAATGTGACCGAGTCTGTCCTGTGGAATCGTTGTGCTCTCTGCTATTGATTTCATCAACGATACGCAGTCCTTTCCCTCCAGGGAGCTGACCACAGCTGGACACAGAAGAGTTATCATGTACTTTTTTTTTTTTTAACTCACTTAACAGCAACACAAACAATGCAACTAACATAACCTGTTCTGAGCTTTGGTGGGTAGGTTTTTAATCACAGGTTGTAAAAGCAAAGACATTGGGCAGGTCAAATATCTCATGCCTAAATTAACTATGTTCAATGTAGCCGTGGAACAAAATATTGCAGTAAAGATTGTTTATTTAAACTTGATTTATTCAATGCAATGTCATATTCTAATAAAATGCATTTTAATAGATGAACATGCAATACAGGCAACTGGGCAGGCATGCAATAAGTAACTTTAAATAAGAGGAAACAGCTAATCTTAAAAGAGAACAACGAAGCAGCATTTTTTTTTTTACCTTTCATTAATTTCCTGAACAACTCCTGGTCCACATCCTTCAGATTTTTCGACATTGATTCAATCTCTGGTGGTATCCGGCCTCCCCAGAAGCTGAAGTCCTTTGCATGACTCGAAGACATGCTTAAACATGAACTATTGTGACGAATGGGTATGTGTAGCAGGCAAAAATTAAACTTTAAAGTACAAATGTGTCCGCTGTCTGTTGTGCTGTGAGGATTATTTACCGTTTGGGTGACGACTTCCGCCTTCTTGTCACATGACACTGGTCACCATCCCCGTCATCTCGCGCTAAGCGCTTACATCATCATCCATGGTAGAAAGGAGATTTGCAAATGGAGGCTGCTGAAATAACCACTATTTGATCAACAAAAGGTTGGTGATTGATTCTAGATAGCTAGTTAATCATTACTCTGCCAAGCTTAAACACCGTTTGCATTTAACATCCTGGGTTAAGTCCTAGTTAAGTCTCGTTTTTGGCTTCGTAATCGCTACGTGGACATTTGGAGCTATAGCAACCGGTGTTACGATTTAAAGAGTGTCCGTGTTAATTGTCGACTTTCAGCCAAATGTTTCTGTTGTTGTCGTAATAACAACCACTATTAGATAGTGTCCTCACGAATACCTCAAAGTCACATCTGACGACTACAGTTTACAATACATTAAACCTAACAAATAGGCATTGGTTAGGACACTTCAACATCTGCTGTAACTGCGACAACCAGACGTATTCGGTTGAAATTCACCAGTTTACATGGTCACTTTTTAAACCGTAACACCGGATACATTGAAACGCTCTTCTCTGGCGTGGTCCAGTCGAAAACTAATTTAGCTTACTTGTTTCTTATCTATGGGATAACCATGTTGTTTCTTAGCCTGGTATGTACAAAGGTTTGTCAACAATCTACCATTTGAGTTGACTGTCAGGAGGAACCACATTTAATCATGAAGGCTGTGTATATAACGGGGATGGCATCGAGCCACACAATCCACAGTAACATTTTCTGCTACAATACTGTTAGGGAAAAGAAAAACATAACATTACAGTACACCTTTACTAGCTATGCCCAACAACACCAGAGAAGTTCAGTCCAGACACAAATAGTCAAATGTGTCAGCTGAGCAAGTAACCTGATTGTTTTCAAGTACAATATTAAAAATATTGTACTTGAAAGAGTGACAGTGCTAACTTATTTTATCCATTTTGACTGCTCCATTATATCACACTGCAAAAACTTTCTACAAACCCAATAGGCTAATTTGTTAAAGTTGTAATTGAACTTGTTTTATTATTATGTAAACTATTATGTAATTTACAAAAGCCCTAAAGTCCCAAAAAGTAAAAAAAAAAAAATCTTGTGCACACAAGTTAGATAATATCTTGTCATAACTTGCGCACAAGTTTATTATGTACACAAGATGTTAACTTGTGCGCACAAGATTTTTTGCTTTTTGGCCCTTCAGGGTCTCTGTAGTTATTGGAGCTGGTTTAACATGAAAAGCCCTTACATTTTCTTGCCCAATTCATCCAAGACGTGTTCTTAGCTCTTAAGTCACAACCATGCGGCGGCTTGGAGGGCAAAAAGAGCCAAGGAACATAGTGCCAACCTTTGAACATACTGTGGAGCTGCAGCACGGGCTTGTTCATTTTCCACCTCTTCAAAACGACCCATGTTTACATCATCTGACAACAGGGCGGGAAACAACATCCAGTGTTGAAAAATCACGCCAATATGGAAGTGCAAAATCCTGCAGTTTGTCGAGTGTCCGCTCGCCAATATTTTCCTCGTTTTACCACGTTTCTGGTCTTGGAGCTTATTAAGAAAAAGGCAGAGACTTTTTAGATTGAGTAGGATCAGTATCGGCTCACTTGCCTGCTTCCTCCGCTGCAACAACTGTTGGTTTGCTGTTTGCCTGGCAAACCAGAAGTGCAAAACAGCAGTGTGGGGGGTGCCACCTTCTTCTCTGGTCAAAACAAAAAAACAAACTATTCCGCCCCAAAATCTAAACTTATGAGTAGGACATACTAGCTGCTCCGTTGTTGACAGAAACGCCAGTACTTCAACATAGCATGTTTTCTTCATGTCTGATGATATTGTAGGGTCATTTTATAATTTCATTCAGTAAATCTTACACATTGGACCTTGAAGCTTGGGTCACTTGCGACCCTTATACACAGTGGCTGGCAAAGTACAAAATTTACAGTACAGTTTAAATACTGGGGCCGTATTCACAAAGTCTCTGAAGTACTAAAAGTTGCTCCTAGTGACAACATTTTAAGAACATTCTTAGAATCAGGACATTTCCCCTCAAACTTAGGACTAGATCCTTGTAAAGATGAAAGTTATTCACAAAGTGTCTTAGCCCTTAAGAGAGCTCCTAAGGTGTCAAACTGTTGAGGAGGACTTTTAACAGAGAGATAGATTCTCAAACTGAGGAGAAAATGGAGACATTTTTCTTCAAACACTACATGAAGAATAGTTTTAACTCATATTTGGGCTGAACAGACAAAAATGATTTGTGCAGACATTTTAATCTATCTGACTATTTTTTTCAGTACAAATTGAGACATGCATGTTGAGTTTCTCTACATGTGGTTACCTCCACAGGTGCATCCAATCACTAATTAAGGCTCTTCACCTGCTGCTATAGCTCAGTATGTGAAGAAGCTGCTGCACTAGTGAGCATGTGATTTCAAACATCTTGTAGGCTATATACTTTTAAAGTACGTCTTACAAATGATCACACAGATGCTAATTTCAAAGTGTTCATGATTACACAATGTCTGACTATTTTTATGTTTGACTTTTTATTTCAAATTTTTTTGATTAACCAATCACAGCTTCTGAACCTAGCAACGGGATCCACCACGACTCCTCAATAAGATAAACGTTTCTGTCCATTCCTTTGCTCAGAGTTGAGGCTAAGGCTAAGACTCCTTGCTAGGATTTTTTAAGCTGAGTTAGGAGCTCTCTGAGAGGATTCTCACAATGTTTGTGAATCAGGAGTTTTTCTGCAGGTGTGAAAGTACTAATACAGAGATGTTCCATTCGTCCACTGTGCTGTGTCCATTCACACTGGAAGTCAGTCTTTTTCTGAAACTTTCTACTTCAAGCTACTTTAGGCTTAGAGCTGGAGCTGAGGCGTGATTTAAGCCTCTTGACAGACCAAAAACATTTTTAGTTCCATGCTGTTACAAAGTTACAATTCACTTAGCGGACGCTTTTATTCAAAGCGACGTACATCAGAGAGTAACTACATCACTAATCCATTCATTTACCACCACCGAAGCAGCGGAAGCAATGCAGGGTTAAGTGTCTTGCCCAAGGACACATCCGACTTGTTGCTTAGCTGGGGATCGAACCCTCTCCCTTCTGGTTGAGAGGGGACGACTCTACCAACTGAGCCGCCCCCTAGCCGGCTGTAAACATGTTCATTTCCACTGTAATAACGCTCATTTTGGAACGGGGTGTGTATGTGATTTCCATGTCACTTGGAGCCAGCCCAAAGCGGACACTCAAGCACTTGCAGTTTTTTTTTTTCAACAACAGATGTTGCTGCTTGAATGTTACGAGCCAAGGAATGACAGCATTTATTGTGCAGACGTTTCTGAAGTGGGGGGGATTTTGCTTCACTTTTATTCTGAACACATGATGGACTATAAACAAGTCTTGCTTAAAAGTTGTTAAACTAACCACTGGCTACACTAGAATGCCTGAAAGTTCACCATCACACTCAGAGGCTTTATGTTGTAGTTGTCAATGACATTCGATAAGGTTGCAAGACTTCCCCAAGGAAGCACTTTGAAGGTCAGTTTCTTCACTTTAAGACACTTCAACATGCAGTTAGACATGGATTGAGCTCTTTGTGATTCGATGATTTGCTTACTCCCAAGACAAAGCCACTTGTGACATAGGCAGCTGTGGTTCAGGAGGTAGACCAGGTTAACATCTGTAAATTGAAATGTTTTGATGGATTTTGATTGTCTTACCTTCGCCTTTTTTTCAGGTACTTCGGCCATGTCTGATTCTCTGTATGAGAAGTTTTTAGCCCCGGAGGAGCCTTTTCCTCTCCTCTCCCAAAGAGCTAACCTCAGTGATGTGGGGAATCTTGATGTCAGTGATTTTAGCTGTCAGCTCTCATCATGTCACAGAACAGACCCTCTTCACCGTTTCCACAGTAACAGGCAAGTAGAAACCTGAAGTTGCATGTCACCTGTCATTTTTTGTTTCCAAAGAATATATGCATCTCTATGGTAATATGTCCCAAAGTGAGGAAGGGTCTGCCACCAATATATAGCCAGAATGTTGGCTGATAAACGATTACTTAAACAATTAAAAACAATTAAGTAAAATAATGTAAAAAAAAAAAAGAAAAGAAAAGCTTGTGATGTCATGTTAAAATAAAAATAGAATGTAAGAGCCTAGAAACAGGTTAGCTGGAGCTCTTCTCAAAACAAATGCCAAAATGGTCAGCCTGCTGATGTGCCTCAGAGAAACAGTGATTTCACATTTGAACAGTTGTATTGTTTTTTAACCTATGGGTCTGTTTTTGAGAGACTTTCTCAAAGTAAAGTACTCGGTACTATCAAGGTATCGAGTACTACCTTCATGAGTACTTTCTCAAAGTAAATGAGGAAAGATGAATATTAAATGGTATTTATTAGAAAAAGTTCTGAATGTTTTCATCTCCGATCTTGTTACTCTGTGTACAATGGTGCGTTTATAAAATAAAAGTGCAAAGCTTTAACTTACAGAATGGTCTTCCTAGGGTCTTCTTGACAAATGACTTAAATGGTCAACCTCTTGGGGGTAGACTTTGTTGTTTACTTAAATAGTTTAATTCAGTTTTTGCCTGATAAAAAATAGTGTTAAGTGGGGCTTACAACTTTACCACAGTTATATCTATCATTAATATTTATATCACTCGTGCATATAATTACTATTTAGTCATTACGGGGCTTATTTACTATGTATCTATTCATGTGTTGTTTTATTTGCCTTGATAACATGCTGCTGTAACACCACAATTTCCCACTTTGGGATCGATGGATGGATCTGTCTGTCTGTCAAATTTTTTTTATCATCATGATTGGTGAATCCTAAGGATGTGCACTATTTGAAATTTAAAAAACATTCAAACAGAAATGGTGCCTAACATGCTAACTCCTATTTCTCCCCAGGTGGAACCTTACTTCCTGTGGGACCAGTGTTGCCAGCTCAGAGTGCAGTGAGGAGCTCTTCTCCTCTGTGTCCGTGGGAGATCAGGAGGATTGTTACTCCCTTCTGGATGACCAAGAACTAACGTCTCTGGACCTGTTTCCAGAGGGCAGTGTTTGCAGTGATGTCTCCTCTTCCATCAGCACTTACTGGGACTGGTCAGATAGCGAGTTTGAGTGGCAGGTTGGTTGTTGGCAGACCTATTATCTAGTTTTAACATGCTTAGTTGGCAAGTTTGTCCAGTCCAAATAGCACATTCTTGTTTTTTTTTATTTTTTATCTGCGTCTCATTCTTTGTATGTTTTTTGTATGTTTTTCCTCAAAGTTGCCAGGAAGTGACATTGCCAGTGGCAGCGATGTCTTTTCAGACATTATCCCAAGTGTTCCAAGTTCACCCTGCCTGTTTTCCAAGAGAAAGCCAAAGACCCACCTGCATCGCAACTTGGATGAGTTGCCATGGAGTGCCATGACCAACGATGAGCAGGTGAACTAAACTGGTGATGTATAAAAGAAACCCTCCAGTGCTGTGAGATTGTTCCGAATTCACAACAGTGAAACCAGCGATGTTGCTGTCTGTGCTTGTCTATCATACTCGTTAACACGTTCTAAAATGACACTGAGGCCTGTACTAAGAAGCCCATGTTCTGTTTCAGTTATTTGACTTAACTAAACTAATAGATGTCATCATGTTGGTTATCATCTTGATAAGTCAACTGAGGTTTTCTACGAGTCTGTTCATATCAAACATCAATTGCAAACATGAACTGCAGTCAGAAGAGCTGTGTAGCTCAGTGTTTATTGGATTAATATAAAGAAGTTCAACACATAATCCAGGCACTATACATTATAAAGTTTTCATGGATTTGATTAATCCTTTAAAATAACTTGGTTTTCTTTTCTCATCAATGTCCCCCCTTAATAACAGAACTTGGTTTTCACGACACAAGTTTGGACCAACTAACATTTGTATCATCCCTGACCTAGCTATGAGTAAAGGACTAAATGCTCAAATGTAATCAATTAGAGATCTGATCTTTTATTGTATTTTTACCTTAAGTAAATGCTGTACTCGCTGTAAAGACGCGTGGTTTTACTGAAAGTTTGATGCTAAAAATATTGAATGTTTGGTTCAGTCATTATTTTAAAAAGGAACAAAGTCTGCCTTTTTCCTTGTAAATGAGTTTAATACAAAACCACAGAAAACCACTGAACTTCTTACTCAATGAAAAAAACAAAACACATTTCAATCCAAAGCCACTATGGATTTGACTGCTTATAAAATTTGAAGATACCTGGGAAAAGACGAGGCTAGATGGAGGAAAAGTTAACTCCGGATTCACTTTGATATTCTGCGTTAACACCTTTACAATTCAACATGCTGGCCAGACCAGTCTCTTAGTTCTCTCTTATTTCTCAAAGGCCAAAAATGCTGAGTCATTTTTCGTAGCCTCAGTGTCTGGATCAAACGTTTTTATACCATATTGACAAGATGTTTTTTTTATATACTACTATTGACTTTTGATATTTTATGATATCAGGGTTGAAATTAATATTTTAGTTTGAAGTCTTTTGCTGGGTCTCCCTGTGTGGGGCACTTTGGGCTGTGCAGATGCTGATTGTCAAGAAAAAGGTCTAGAGGTTCTTCATCGAACTTCATAAATCATTGAGAAAACAGATCATTGCACATTTCTTTCTGTATACTTTCCATCTATTTGTATTTTTAAACTGCGAAACATATGTAATCAAGGTTTGTTAAAACTCTACTCCTTTGTAGTATTTTGCTGTAGAGAGCCCCTGAGCTGACCCGAGAGAATCAGGGCCAATCCAAGAATTCAGGACAGATCTTTATCAGAATATTAAAGCACAAAAGATTTCCAATGTTATGCCTGTTTGCTTCAATTAGCTTCAAACACATTTTACACAAGAGTGTTTTTTTCTACTCTTCATATCCAGAACAGGCAGAGATGTCTGGACAAAAGAAGCAAACATCTATACTTCATGTCTGTGTTTCCATATCCAGGTGGAGTACATTGAGTACCTAAGTCGGAGGGTCAGCACAGAGATGGGCCTGAGAGAGCAGCTTGATATAATCAAGATCATCGACCCCAATGCTCAGATCTCTCCAACCGACAGCGAGTTCATCATAGAGCTCAACTGCCTGACCGATGAGAAACTCAAGCAGGTGGGTGGTAACAATGGCTCCACTATAAATGGTTAAGCAGCAACATAGCAATATGAGCTGATGTGAAGTCTCGTCATAGGAGTAAGTAAATCCATGTTATAGGGCTGTCAATGTAACTGCATTAATTGCGATGCAATTGAAGACCAAAGTGAATGCATATATTTTTTCCTTTTTTAATGAATTAGCAAACATTTCTAAAATTCTGTTTCCACTTCGTGTTTATGGGATATGGAGTGTAGATTGATTCAACCAGAACAAAATGTGAAAAAGTGAAGTGGTCTGAAAACTTTCTGAATGCACTGTACATATGCAAAAATATACATAGATCGATATAGAAGTTGAAAAAGTGGGAAGTACAACCTTTTGGCCTGTGTGATGTCATCAGGTGCGTAACTACATCAGAGAGCACAGCCCAAGGCAGCGGGCTGCCAGCACCAGAGAAGGTTGGAAAAGGAGCAGTCACAGCAGTGCCAGCACTGGCGGTATCAGTGGAGCCAGCAGCAGTAACGCCAGCATGGTCAGCTCTGCTAGCTCCTCCACCAGCTCTACTGCTTCTAACTCTGTAGCAGGTAAGATGCAATCTGGTTTGTGAACGATTACATTGCAGTACTACCACCAATGGAGAAATGTCACATCTGTAGACTTGACTGAACAGTGACAGAAAGGCACATTTTGTTGTTTACATAATAAGTAATTCTAACTCAACACTCAATTTTCAACTTGATATCAACATGTAAGATCTTCCTGGTCTCAATCCTGTTCACATTTCTTTCCATTCCAGGAGGTACAGCATCAGCCTGTAGTGGAAGCAGTGCTGCAAACATTAGCAGAGCTCACAGTGACGGCAACCTTCCCAGTGCAGCAGAACGCATCAGAGACTCTAAAGTAAGAAACTAGGACTTGTGTGTATGAAAATGGTGACCATATTAATTTCACAGGTGATGTTTATACTGTGACAGACAAATACAATTTCAACTTGTGAACTTTTAGGTGTACATTTGCCGTTGCTCTCTACATGGTCTGATCCTCTCCTGGCACACACTGTCATTCATTCATTGTTCTTTGTTACGAAAAGTTTTTTTTTTTTTGCCACCCTGTCTTTTAGAAACGCTCAAAGCAACGTAAGCTCCAACAGAAGGCGCTCCGTAAGCGCCAGCTGAAAGAGCAGCGACAGGCCCGCAAGGAGCGTCTAAGTGGACTGTTTCTAAATGAGGAGGTGCTGTCACTGCACGTGACGGAGGAGAATGACCACGCTGACGACCTGGATGTACTGATGTGACACCAGTGAATAAATCAGTGCTCCCTCTACGGCTTCTCTTTCATTATGCAGCCACTACCATCCAGCTTATAGACTATGTTGATACGAATCTGTTCATCCAATAGCTTTAAAGTATGCCAACAAACATGTAGTATATTTTGTTGGCGTGATGACTGATAGGCAGTAACAGCAAAGACGCTCTTAACATCTGTCGGCATGTTGCTTGGTTATTCTTTTGTCGTGCTTTAACAGTCAGCATAGCACACACCATTAAGGCATGTACTACATTACTGCCAAACTCCTGCTTACAATTTGAGTAGTTACTCATCTTTTCTATCCTGCTTTTATCCTGTTAGATTGCTTTAACTCTTTGAATCTTGCTGATACACAAATTCATTCGATACAGTTTATACCCACTGCTGATAATACAGAAACCTAGGTGAAGGACAGATTAGGAAAAACGAGCCGATTTGTTGCCACATGTTCAGATACTCAAAATCAGTTGATGGTAAGAAGTGTATTGGGGGGGGGGGGGGGGGTCTCTAAACAAGCTGGCATTACTTCAACTAATTTGATTGTAGTTTTTATGCACACCCTACACTTACATCTATAGGCTACTCTACAGGACTGTATTTGCACTATCTCAACGTCTCCGCTATGACTATAGTTTTAAATCCATTGGCAATATTGTGGCATTTAATATATACCTATTGTCAAAGTAGCTAAAGTGCTCATTACCAGTATCCCTTTCAACAGGACAGTCTGTTTTTCAGAACATGAGCCCTTGTAGACACATCAGGAGAAGAAGAAAAAAAGAAAGCAATATCGATTCATAAAAGAATGAAAACTTGTGTGTTAGTTTGTTTGAAGCCCATTCCTTCACTTAATAAAATCATACACCATACAGCAGAATAATACTCCAAAAACTCAAGGATACTATTGTGTTAGAGAGATTTCTCATGTTTAAACTGCAGTGCAAGGTAGTGAACTGACCTGTCTTTCAATGTGCTGAATGTTGTGCACTTTTTCAATCCAAAGGCTTAGAGGGAGCACTGACTTTGTGCATGTTTTTAAAAAAAAAAAAAAAAGGTCAGCCACACTAAGTCCTCGTGTGATCTAGTGACTTACAACTTGCTGTAATATTTGCAAACACATGTCAAAATATAACTGATTTGTTGTACATAAATGAAATTTTCAGCTTATTTACTGGTTGCTTTTAGTTTGTCCTAGTGATAAACATTTGGTACATTTTTTCCCCCCCCACATTATGTTCTGTATGTGAAACATAAGTTAGTGGCACCCTAACTTATATTTAACACTAACTTGCGTTGTTACTCGCACTAACACAGCTTTTAATGAGTTTGAGCTTCTTTTTATGTTTTGTTGTATTCATATTTGCTTGAGATCTATGTTTTCTGTTTTCATCTTCCTTATATAAGAAACACATTGAGGATCTTCTCAGTGGTTCTGTAATGAACAACCTCCAACCCTTACTGAGCTCTGGCACTAAAGTTATTCATCACATTGATTATGTTGATGCAGCCATGTGTATTGTTTAGTTTAAAATTAGTACAATTCTATTTTGAACAATAAGATCATTTTAAACTACAAAAATGTAGTGATGTGACAAAGCTGTAAGTGACGTGTACCATGTAATGAATTTCAACAGAATAACATTACGATGGAATATGGTTAAACCTTCTTTTTTTTTTTTTTGTTCTCAAAAGTTTTGATTGGTGACAGTCGCTCTGTCAATTGTACAAAAGAAATGTGTTGAGGTCATAACATTTAAACCATCTGTTACCATTGCAATAGTTTCCTTAAACATACCAGTTCCTTTGAAATCACCAGAGAACATTGTTACCTGCTCTTATTGATGGTATCATCACTGGCTACGTGCTGAAAACCAGACATGCCATGCTGGTGCTTCAGGGAGAAGAGGGCTTTCTGTCCACTCAGTGGCTTGAATTTACTGTAAACTTTGCTAATAAACTCCCCTTGTTGCAACCATTGATCTTGATTAAAATGTTCATGGGCACGTGACTCAGTCACATTTACAAGATCGGTCCACAGCACCACATATTAACATTTTGTTTGTTTTTATTATGAGTGCAAGTCTTTTTCTTTATTTAGAATGACAACGCATCTATGCACTACTCACTGACATTATGTGCATTGATTGATCATGTGAAATCACAATGATTTGTTTCTCGCTTTTAAAGGTCAATCAATCAATCACTTTTTATTTGTATAGCATCAACTCATAACAAGTGTTATCTTGAGACACTTTACAAAAAGCAGGTAAAATACCTTGCACTTAGTCTGTTAACATTACAAAAGAGCAGGTAAAAAGACCTTACTTATTGCTATAAGTATATCTATATATCAGTGTAACCAGAAGCCTCAAAGACATTTTCAGCTCAAACCCTGTTCCCCACTGCACTGTAACAGGAAACTATAAATATATTAATACAAAACAACCTATGAACAAACATCTAAAATCGCACATTAAAAATAACTTAACACACTTACCCTCAGTCACTCATGACTGCAGCTTTTTTTTACCAGGAGTTGATGTCGTCAGGTGGAGGCAAACTTTCACCTGATGTTTGGACCCTGAACCTTAACATCCTCCGGTTGGCGGGTCACTGCCCATCTTCTCCTGGTTTCCAGCTCATCTCCTCCCACCTGAACCAAAGCGGGATGCCAGCAGGATGCTTCCTCTCCCTTCCTACTATTCCCAGGGTTGTTAGTGTTCCACAAAGACTGCGCAGGGACACCCCTGCAGCCAACTGCCACCCTTTTTACCTGCACTGTTGAACCAGGTCATAGCATTTGGTGGCTTTCCTCTCAGAGGCCTCCTCCCAGCCATCTTCCCATGGTACTGTCAATTCAATCAGGGTGATAAAGCTCAAACTATGAAAAATATTTTTTTATCATGAACATTTAGTTTAGTTAAGGCACATCTGGCTAGTTTTAGGACTATATCGTTTGGCACTGTGAAATGACAGGGTGTGCTGGATGGCCCGCACATTCTCAAGGCTGGTCTAGAGTTTGCGTCAGGGTCCACACGTTCTCATTCTGATTTTTATACACCCCAACATGTGAGTAAAACACAATACTAAACATTTGAGTGTGCACGCACCATTCAAAGTCTGAGCCTTTGAGTGAAACAAGCAAGCTGAAGGAAGTGCAGTCCCATCCAGATGAACACAGACCCAATAAATCTCAATCCAGAGGGAGTTTTAATTCACTTTCTTTTTTAGGAAGTCTTTACTCATCAATATCTTCACATTAGTTATATTTGATTTCTGGTATATAAATAGTCAGAATGTTGCTTAGTATGCCTTTAATGGGACCCATGTGATGGTGAGAGTATAAATCTATTCAAAATGTTCAATTTCAGTTTCAGTCCTTTCTGATTCTTTCACGTCATCTCATTTATTGTTCACAGGCCAACAAGTCCAACTGGTGTGAAAACGACTTCACACAGACTGCTGGCGTGGACCCGGCGGTGAACCAAAGTGGCTGTGAAGTCAGAAAAGGCCAAGACACTCTGCAGAGCCAAACAGAAACGAGATTGGACATCACAGCATGCTAGCACTCTCTCTGATGGTGATGCCCAATCTGAGGGGTTGTAATTCAATAGAGCACATTTCATTGTAGGTCCCGAGCATTTCGCTTCCTCCTGTTGGACAACTTTATGTTACTTCTGTCAAATATGCTCGTGTGCAAATGAACACTGCACTGTTTCATTCCCCATTGCAGAATAACTTTTTTTTTTTTTTTTTGTACACCGTTTATATTGCTTCAAAACATGTGATTGTCGTACTATCTGTTTATCTATTTCATTCCAAGCATTAACAATCTACACTGCTGAAGCTTTTACTGCCATTATCATGTTAATACATTCTTTTTTGCAAAATGTATCTTACATCTAGCTCACAAAGAATTTGAGCATGTACCCCTTAGGAGCAACTCGCTCAAATGAGAGTGTGCATGTTTTTTTTTTTCATTTGAGATGTTTGTAAGGTGAAAACAATTCCTTCGCGTGTTTGAACCGCTTTGAATTAAACAGAAAGTTTCAGTTGCTCTTCGGTTGGCTATCTTTGACAGCTTCTTAAGTATTTGGACAGTGAGTCATTGTCTAATTGATGAAGTAAAGTTTTGAAAACATGGGCTCACCCTGATTATTAAACTGTGTCTTGTCTGTCCTGATATCTATCCTACAGTTGGTTTAGCTGTTGTAGACCCCCCCCAAAACAAAACATATGATGCTTTGTTAGCAGCTCCATGCTGTGAAAGTATTTTGATCTAACATGCCAACATTTGCAACCGCAATGAGCACTTAACACAAAGTGCAAAGTGTTATGAAACTCCACTTAAACCCACAAACTTCAATCTCTGCAAATAAAATGAGGAAAATCAAGCGTACAAAACCCTTATTTGTCCCTGACATTTATTACAACGTACAAGAGGTTAAATAAAAAATACAGACAAATGATCTTAATCCTTACTCAGGTCTACAAATCAAACTCTTTCTTTTTACTTTCACAGCACAGCATTTACAACCAAGCAGAAAACAAACAATTAACAAACAATTAAAACAATTAACAAACAATTAAGAAAAAGAAGTTGCATTTGTTGGATCGTGTTCTATGTGCAAGTAATTCCTACATTTTTAAACTCACATTGTCCTGAAAGTACTTAAGTGAAGCATCAGAAGCAGTTAAGACTTATAATTCCTCCATTTCAGTGACAGTCCCTGCAGAATACCATGAAGCAGACCTGAAGGACAATCCCCTATGTTCTTTGCTGCACTACTGTTCAAGGTTTACCTACTCCATGCGTAGTAGACTACAAGGAGACAACAGAAGACAATTCTTATTGGAGGACCCCAACAGTCACAAGCAGGATAGGAGTTGCTTATGTGACTGAATGTATGCTCACACTGCAATTCAAATCCTACCCTATTAGAGAAGAGAAGGCTTGAAGGCACAGGACTATTAGTTCTGACACAAAGGGGTTGAGGTCCTCGCTCTCATTCCATGGAAAGTTGCACACTGTCTTTCTGGCCTTGGTGCTGCTCAAACTTCCTTGCTAAAAAACAAGACAGACGACAGGAAGGAAAGTCATTCATCACAAAATAACCCTGAATCTTATCGTGAAATATGATGCGTGCTGTGTATAAAACATGCCAGTTGTGAGTTATTTGCATGGGTGATCACAAAATAAATAGTTTGAGACATTTTGCACCTACAGATATATATTTTTCCTGAAATAGAGGGAAAGTTAAAAGATCACTTTTGGAATACAGGTCTCCATATGGATGCCGTATCTGAAATTAACTTTTCTCACCTGCTTTTTCTACATCAGATCACATTTTGATTGGCAACATTAGGCTTTTAGTCTTACATTTTAAATGTAGAATGCTTAGAAATGCTAACACTGAAAAATTTACTGCATTAAGATTAATCCCTGCAAGGGGAAATTTCTGTTTTTACACTCTGTAAGTCATGCAACACACACACAGGCTGCAATACACACATGCACATACAGGATCCTATGGACATGAACTAATGGAGGGATGTCAGAGTGACGGAGCTGAGTGGGTTTGGTGCCTTGCTCAAGGGCACCTCGGCAGTGCTCACAAAGTGATCTGGCACCTCTCCAGCTACCAAACCAACTTCTGTATTTGGTCCGCACTGGGACTTGAACCGGTGACCCTCCGGTTCCCAACCCAAAATAATACTACTAATAATAATCCCAAATAAGACTTCATATTTTGAGTTTAAAAAAATAAATAAAATTCATAATGTTTATACTGCCATTGATTTTTTGCTGGAGCCAGGTGCCAATTTAATTCCCTGTATGAAAAAGAGACTTCATGATGTAATCATTCACTATCTTCAGGTTGGGAAAACTTGGCTCTTTTAACAAGGACCCCCTACTGACAAAGTTTGCCAAGTGGTTGTAAATCCCCACTGTTACTTTCCTGTGTTGTTCAGAGCTACACTCACCCAGAGAGTACATCTCCAGCTGCTGTCTCAGGCGGACCTTCTGCAGGCTGTCGTAGAAGTTGGGTTCAGGGCTAATGCCGGCGGTGGGTGGCAGGGAGAAGATGCGCATTATCTTCCTTTTGTTCCTAAATTGCAAAAGGATGAAAGAGGAATAGAGTAGTTACTCATTGAGCAAAACGGCCAAATAATACGGTGCTTAATTGACTGCTTACTTTCTGGCGTACACGAGAAGGCCGAAGCTGACCAGTATAACCAGTAGGTAGACATTAGTGGCCTCATTCCAGGCTTCGTGTACCGAATAGTCGATGGACTCGGGCTCGTTGCCCAAAACACCATGAGCACCCATACTACTACCTACCACTGCCACTACGACTTATTCTCCAAAACACTATATAACGCCACGTCCGCCTCCCTTTTCTCTCTACTGTTATTATTGACAAGCTAAACCAACAGCTTCTTCTTCTTCTTCTTCTCCGGGATTTGTTTTTTCAAACAGCTTAAAGGTGCATACCGCCACCTACTGTACAAGAGTGTGTAACATCATGTCACTTTCCTTCTCTAGAATTAAAAATTCTGCCTACCACCCTTGTGTAATACAAGAATCCTTCTCCCTCTGTGCCCAGCATTTCGGCGTATTGCTGCCCTCTACTTCTTCTGTTGTATCGGTGGTTGACAAACAACCAAATGGTGGAGGGTGACTCAGCGTGTCTTCATGTGAGTGTCCAAGGCGATGACTATGAACTGGCATCTACGAAATGCAGATGTAACAGCTCTCAAGACACCCTGCAGTTACTCTAACCATGAGCTCAAGGTGGATATGAACAATGTGACCAGGTGCTGACAGAGGCCAAGGTGATCGACGAGCTCACAGAGAAAGGAGAGAACAGTGCCACAACAGGCCGGCACTCGCTGGTTTACATATCAAAACAACATGAAAACGTCATATAAAAGCACAAGTACATCATCTCTGTATGGCTGAAGATAGGATGAAACCACAACAAATTTGGACAGGCCCGTCCTCCTAATCACCCCCCTCCAGGTGACTCCATTGACCACAAATAGACACAACGTTGCAAAAAAACCCAAAAATCAGCAAATTGACTGTTAAATGATACAAACGGACGATAGACAAAATAAACGGACAAAAATGACTACACAATGTCTCTGTCAGATTTGGGTGTCTTTATCCTGTGTTGTATGGGTGGTCCTTGCACCCATGGGGCCTGTTCTGATTACATTTGTTTGTGGCTGCACTCATCGTCTCCCAACTTTTCATAGAACGACAGAGGGGCTCAATGTGACACTGAAGGGGAAGTATTTGGTAACTGTAACTGCAACCGACCCTGGCGGCCTTTTCACCAGCACTGTGGAGGTGAGTGATAAAAATCATGAAGCTGGTTCAATACATTGTCTTATCCTGTTTACTGTACAACTTCAAACTCTGTAAATACATTGCTATTATTTTGCAGATTTTCATAGCTGAAGAATTGAATAAAGTTGTACTTGAATTTTCATCTTCTGAAGAAGAGGTTAAAAGAAACCTAAACGACATCATCAGGTACACTTCTATTTGCTTTAGTAAAGATTGTATCTCAATTATTTGAATTAACACTCTGTTCCAGTTGGACTTGTATTTTCTAAATATTTCCAGGGTGCTGACTGCTGCCACCAAGGCCTCTGTTGAAATAGTTTCAATCAGGCCTGACACTGATGAACGATCCAAGTAAGTTCCTTTTCTCTGTACCTTCATATCTAACACAAGAATTAGTCATTACAAATCCAGATCATTCATTGTTTACAAGTGTTGACAGGAATCCAAAATAATCTCCAGTTTCTCAGCTGCACTCAAACTTTTGTCCACAAGGTGGGGCAGCTGTAGACAAACTTGATTGATTGTAAACTTCTGAAGAGGAGGATTTCAGCAACATAAGAGGACTGAAAGTTATTTTAGTCTAATTTGTGTGTGTAAGTTAATTGTATTCTCTTCTCAGGTTCTTCAGGTGGAACTATCATCATGGCGCATTTTGTCTACCTGAACGGAACGACTCTGACCTCTGACGTGGTGGAGGAGTTGAACTCTGTTCCTGAATATTATTTTGAACTAAAAGAGCTTGGACTTGAAAAAATTGTAAGTATGATTAGTTTAACTGTTGGGTTACGTGAGATGAAACCAATGGGGAAGTTTTTATAATCATGGGCGGTTCTAGGCAGGGGCCAACAGGGGCCAGTGGCCACCCCTCCACAATGGAGGAGTCGTCGGAAAACTGGAAGTCTGTACGGTCTAACCTCAAACCTATTGAAAAATAGGTTCGCCTCAGGGGCAAATACTGGGTCTCCTTGAATTCTGGGTTCAGGCCTGCTGCAGCCTGTCATCTGCTTCATGCCATTCCACACCTCCTTTGTGTTGTTCTGTCCCATCTTGGCCTCAATCTTCTCCTTGTAGCTGTTCTTGGCCTCTCTCAGCTTCTTCTTTAACTCCTTTTGGACAGCCCTGACCTCCCCCCCGATCCTTAGTCATGAAGTGCCAATGTTCTTCTAATTCCAACTATGAAAAGTACTGTGTTAATATTAAAATATGCGCACTTCACTCTTCAGCCACAAGAGGAAGCTAGAGAAAGCCAGAGCCATTAACTCTGCCATAATAGGGAACTCTGACAACCAGAGAAGTGATCCTTTTGTACCTGGAACAAATAAATACACCTTGGAGGAATACATGATATAGCATAACTGATCATGTTTTTCCTTCTGAGTTTGACATATTTTGCTTCCAGAAAAAAATAGTTTTCCAACCGGATGGTCCAGAAGTAACCCAAAGTCAGGTAAAGAAAGCGCTCTGCCACCCCATTGTTTGTTGAAAGCAGTTACACATGACCTTGCTCTCTAGCCTGTAGAACTGGGCTGGTCAGACTGCTTCCAGGTGAACATTTAGAAATGTAGAAGTGGCTTTCTGCTACAAATGACCCTTCTTATTTGAATATAAAAACACTCTTTCTGAAATGATTAAATGTGCATTTGGAAACCTATGCTTTGTTTTCCTTTTCTTGTAAAGTATTAGCTCCCTGGATAGATTTTACGACTTTAGGATTCAACCTAACATGGTGAGTTTGCATTTCAAAGGTATATTCATTTGTACAAATAAAAACACGTACTTGTTTAAAAATACTTTTTCTCCTTATCAGAACATGATCCAGGAGGAGGAGGAACGCAGTGAACTTCCTGGCTACATTGAGCCTCCAGGCTTTAACCAGCAAGGTTACAATAACCCTGCATTTAACAATACAGACGTGTGATGGACATAATGAAGGATGAGACCCTGCAGGGGGCCTCAGATGGACACATTACTTTCCTGTAATCAGGCTGACCAAATAATTAAAATACAATGAACTCTTTGTTCAAACAGCCCTTTGTTCTGACTTATAATATATATTATATATTATATATATTATACTCTGTATGCATGGGACAATAGCACTGAAAGGGATTTTTTTTCCCGTTGTTTAAAATATTTAGACAAAGAAAATATGAGCACAAACAAAATGGGAAATGTAAAATAATACCTAGTTATCCCATATTTGTCCCATAGTAGAAAGATCCAATTGAGTTGAGTTTAATAATTTAATCAAGAAGTGGTAGTAAAACATCTAACTGCTGGGTGTCAATTTTGGAAAGCAAAAAGCTTCCACATCCTCTCTGTGGTCAGTCTTCTTACTAATGTGAGAAAACCTCTAGGCTGGCTGTGTTGTAAAAATTTGTAGATATATTAAACTGTAAACCTTCTCATCTTACTTTTGGCAAGAAAGCAAATAAATGCATTCATCTCTTAACCTGCTCTTTAAAATGAATAGTTGGACAGAAGCAATGGGAAAGTAAAAATCAAAACAGAGAAACAATCATTTGTGTCACATGTCAATCACTTTATTTATGTAAATATATCATGTGATGGTTTAAAAACAGCTTGGTTTGCTTTGTAATAAGACTTTATTAAAAGTTATGTCACACATAAAACACATAGTTAGTTTTGTTGCAGCTGATGCTAATAAAGGAAAAGCTGAATTTCAAAACATTTGCAGACTGTATGAATGAAAATCTCATGTATGTCTCACAAAATCTTCTGCAACTTTGTTGCTTTTTGGTCTGAGATACATGTCACTAGAATAAAATCTCATGCATTGTGACTTCCTGCAAGAAGCAGTTTCTTTAAATCATTACTGACATCTAATGAATGAATCACAAGGGCAGATTTGTGAATAAAATGTTTCCAAATGAATGTAAAAAAAAAAACAACACCACTAACACGGCAATACCCTGAAACACATTTAAAATAATTTTCATCACACAAATAAATCACTAATCATGGCACTAAAATACATAAAAGATTAATTAATAAAAACAACTTCATATCAGGAGTTATTACTTTCTCATACATTCATTATTGATCCTCTTTAGTTCACTTTCCACAAAACAAGTCAAAGCATTGTGCCAAATCTGAAAGCAGAAGACAAGCCTGCACTAATGATGCTAAAGTGACTCCCCTCACACAGATCAAGGCAACATTTAGGTCACTTAACTTCCCTACATTCGAAACACCTTCACGTTATAGCTTCTGACCTTGTGGTCATCAATCACAATCAAAAACTGTCACACTCCACAATCATTTCTCCTCTCTGGAGCTGAGTTCAGCCGCATGAGACCTGAAGGAGCTAACCATGGCTTTTTTTTTTTGTTATAAGTGGCTTAAAAAAGCATCAAAAGCTAAAATAATTCATTGATTGGTAAGGGTGAAAAAGATTAAAGAAGAAAAGCAATCATTAATATCAATCACAGTTTTCAAAGACATAAAAACATAAAAACACAGAGAATAAAACAACTAAAAAGACATCTTGTATGGCTGATATTCAGCTGTCTCTCCTCTAAATGTTGTATTGTGCTTTTTTTTTGGCTCGAGTGAGGAGGTGATTTGCCTTTCACGCTTTCATGACAAGTTCTGTGAAGTGAGTCAGTGAATATACCGTATCACAGCCAAGTTAATCAGAAGTCATTTGATTCCGCAGCACTGACTCTGTTTCTAACCAGCTGTTGTTTCTTCTCACATCACTCAGCGCTGTGAGCTCTTGTGCAGCAATGTGGCTGCTGCATGTTCTCCATCAGCTGACGGAAGGGGTTTCTCCTACGTCGGCCCATCTCCCCATCCTGTTCTCCCCTCTTACCTTTACCCGAGCCCTCTGAGTTGAGGGGCATTGCTGACAGGTTGAGCGGGGGAGGGGGAGGCATGGAAGTCTGATGCTTCTGCTTCTTCACCTGCTTCTCCAGATGTTTCTGGATGGCTGAGCCCAACACAGTCACCTCCACCACCGCCCCATACACCTCCCATGTCATGCCTTTCTCATCCCAGCTCACCTCCTGTACTGGCTCCTCACTTTTCTCATTACAGCTGCTTTCCTCCTTCGTGTCCTCTTCTTTCATCTTATTCTCATCCTCCATGTCTTCTTTTTTCTCCTCTTCCTCCTCCACTATCTTCTCCTCCAGGCTGGTTTCTTTCCTGACCTCAGGGAAAGATGTTGCGACTGGTGTTCTTGGGGTCATGGGTGCTGTAGCCACAGAGCGATACTCCACCTGGTGACCCACCTGCAGCTCAGCGTCTTTAGTCTCTGCACCCACAGCTCCACATCTCAAACTGGAGCTGGGGAAGCAGAAGGCCTGGTCCCCCTCAGGTGGAGTCATGGGGCTGGTCGCTGCAGACTGACACTGCACCACCTCCAGGCTCACCTGCGTGCGGATGTTGTGGCAGCCGAAAGGAGCAGGAGATTCAGGGACGGGAGGTTTCGATGAAGAAACCTCTTTCACATCTTCACTCGTGACTTTGACGTCTCTGACTTCTGAATTTTCACAGTTCAGGTGTGTTTTGACTTCATCACAAGCAGAAGCCGAGGGCTCTGCGGTTTTTTTGTGTGGTGAGGGTGAATCATCCTCTGCGTGACCATGAGCATCTGTAGGGACATTTTCCTTTTCATCCTCTCTTCTGTCATTGTTCCCTCTGATTTCCTCACATTCATCAATCACCTCTTTCTCCACGGGACAAACAGACGACTCAGGCTTCTCATCGTCTTCCTCGCTGTGGTCATGGTGGGTCACCACGATAGTAATGTCTTGATCCATACTTCCCATCCTCTGCTGCTTACTGTCTTTAGTAATTCCTCTTGAATCTGTCGACACAACAGTAGGGCACCAGGAGGAGCTCACCTCACTCTGCTCCTTTGATGTGCTTAACTCTAACGCTTCTGTTTTCTCTGACTCAGCCTCTGCTTGACTTTTGATCAAAGAGAAACTCCCTTCCACCTCTGACCCCTTACTCTGCTTCCCCGTCTCCTTCTTCTTCTGCACTGTCTCCCTCCCGGTCAGCTCTGGGAAAGCTGTTGTGGAAGGCGTCTTTGGGGTCATGGGAGAAGTAGCAACGGAGCATTGTTTCACCCTCTCCTCCTCTCTCTGCACCGTCTCCCTCCCCATCAGCTCTGGGAAAGCTGTTGTCGATGGCGTCTTTGGGGTCATAGGGGAGGTAGCAACCGAGCAGAACTCCACCTGTTTGCCCACCTGTAGGTCTGCATCTTTAGTGTCAGCACCCACAGCTCCAGATCTCCCAAAAGAGCTTGGGAAGAAGAAGGAATTGCCGCCCTCAGGAGGCGTCATGGGGCTGGTGGCCGCAGAGTGACACTGGACTACCTCCAGGCTGACCTGTGTGCGCATGTGGTGTTGGCCAAAGGGTGCTGGGGTGCAGGGCTCACAGGGTCCTGGGGTTGGAGGTACAGGAATAGTGATGTTCTCAATTCTGTTCGCTTCTTCCCCTTCGTCAGGACACATGATTTTATCCTTAGACATTTCCACCTGAATTGTATCATCTCCCTCTCCATCAGTCAGGGTCTTTTTGGTGATGGTTGTGTTGTTTTGTGTATCTTTTGTTGCTTCAGACTGTTGTGTCAGACTGATTGCATCGGTCTGCAAAAAGTCTTTAACCTCTGTAGAGCCTGATTGGTCAGTGTTGTCACAAACCCCTCCTGAATCCTCCTCATCTTTAGAAATGGGACCCCTGTGTATTTCCTCTCCATCGCAGTCGGCGTTTGTGTGGAGTTTTGGCTGATAGCTCTGTTGTGTTGATGACTCTTGACTCGTGTTTATCTGAGGTTCCTCAGGCTCAGCGCTGCCATCTGAGCTGCCTGGATACTCTCCATCATCTGCCCTCTCACACTGCTTGTGGTCCTCTGTCAGTCCTCTCATTTCGTCTTTTAGACTTCCCATTCTGTCTGTGCATTAAAGGGGTGGAAAACCTGCAAAAATATTACACAGAACTGACACTTTGTTCACACAATTTTTACAAGCAACTACAACAACAAGCACGAGCGTTAGTGGAGAGAAGAGAAAGCTTTGTTTTAATGTTAAAAATGTTTTTCCTACTCACAGTATGGATTCAAGCATACTAACAGAGACATGTAATAGAGTTACATCACTGCTACTATCAGATGACCATTTCTCACATGCTTTTTTTTCTTCTCTGTAATCTTTAATATTCACTATCATTAAGCACATTGTCAAACTGCAGTTTAACTCTAATAGTAAATAGTAAATCAGACAAAAACCTAAATTCAATTGTTTGATTTTTTTGTCTCATTTTGTACCTTTTTAGCTTAACACATTTTCTCTTTGTTCATATTTAAGTTGTATTTTTAAATCCACAATAACAGAAAGTCAAACTCATGCACAGAAATCCTGTAACTGTCAAATTCTAACAAGGAAAACGAAGAGTATTAAAATAAATTGTATGAAATCACGAGTAGAACACATACCTCAGCAGTCCAAGTCAGACTGAAGTCTCGCCATAGCTCTCTGTCAGATTCGGGTCAAACGTCAAAAATCTCAGCGCTGATCCAGACCCGCATCTGTCCATATATCTCTCCCAGTGATTGATAGTGATTGCAGCGGCTACAGGTTTGTCTCTAGAAGAATCTATCTTAGGCAAACCTGGCTCTTTAAGCTCTGCCTGTGTCTATTGAAAAAGCTTCACATTTCCAGTTTCCCTGGAAACCACCGTCAGGCTCTGGCAGTGTGTGGAAATGTAACAACAAAATCTCTGCTCAGCTCTCTAATCATCAGTAAATCATAGTAATTAACTCCAGGTTCTCATAGCAACACAATTGCAGATGTGTGCAAAAAGATAAATCTGTAAATTTGTGAACTGGCTTTGGCTAAGGAATTTGATGAGAAGGCATAAAATGTAGATAAAAGATTTCAAGTCACAAATGATCAGAATGAAGGAAGGGTCAAGTATTAATAATGCATTAATACTCAGTGTGTGTGTTTTTTTCTTCTTCGAAGGTCACATTTGTTATACCACTCTCAGATTTAAGAAATAAATGTGTTATGGCAGTAAAAGGTAGGATGAAAAGATCTTAAAGGCACTTCCTCTGAACTAAAAAGTTTTCTGAGGCTGATTATTACAGGAATTTATTTAAACAATTTTTTTTTGTGCAGAAGGGAGTTTTCTGCTGCAACAGTACAGTACATACAGTACACACAAGAGAACAGAAGATATCTGCTGAAGGAGCCTGAAGGAAGCAGAGCTGTGCCTCCCACACAAACCAACACTTGTTAACCACCTCGTCTTTCATACTCAGTCCTCCCTCCAACCTCTCTGCGCTCTGCGACATATTTTTCACTGAAACATCTGTCACTGCTCACCTCGAGTACTCATGTGGGACAGAGGATTTATTTGACACGTTTTTGTTGTCGTTTCATGGTTTTACTGTAGCGGTGAGCTGCAGCTTTGGCCAGAACACTGTGTACTAACAGAAGTATTCTCACAGTTAATTCAAAGGCCCCCACCAATCCCCATCCGCCACAGAGATCTGTTGCCTAGCAACCACATAGTGTGGTAGAGGGAGGTGCGCTGCTGAGGGGCCAAGGTAGACGGCGCTGATCACACTCTCAACAGAGGCCATCAAATCTCGACTGGCTATCTTTTTCACAATGTGTGGGTAATGATGACCCTGTTGTTTGATAGATGAGAGCTCTCCACAGCTAAACAGAAGCGGCACAGACAGCTGCAAGTAATTATATCTGTATATTTCTTTGCATCACAAAATGCTAAGAAAAGTTGGTGTCTTTTTTTATTCCCCATAATAGTGACATACAAGCTGTGATAACGCAGGAAACACAAAGATGAGGAAATTAGAAAAAAACACAATTTATTGTGATTTCCTTTGGAATGTTGTGCATATAGAGATATAAATATGGTATTTATCTTCAGTTTTTCTGGTGCCAACAAACTTTAATCCCAACATTGTTACTTGTCTAAAACGTAAGCATGATCAGACAAGTTGGCTCCAGTGGTTCAGCCACAACTGTTCATTTTTTAGGGATCATTTGGTGTCCAGTTTCTGTCCAAACTCCTTGATGGTGTCTGTGGCCTTGTCTGCAGCTTTTCCTATGACTGCCTGAGTCTGTCTGCTGGCTTCCTGAGAAGCTACGAAGAGTCAGAGTGAAGCAGAAGACAACATTTATGTCATACAAACATTTATAAAGACTGTAACACTTTTGTCATACACTCAGACTTAAGTTATAAGTGTAAGCACATACGTGTATGTATAATAAGAGCTCATATCAAAGCCATCCTGTAACAGTTGTAGACTAATTCACTTAAAGAACTATAAACTGAGATCCATTTAAGTGAAGCTGTATGTCTATAGTCCTGATTCTCAAAGTAATTCTATGTCTAGTCCACAGAAGCGCACTTCTGTCCACTATCCAACTGTGCAAGATAAGCAGATATTTTACACTGAGCGACATATGTCATTTAAGGGTTTAATATTGTATTGGTCTAAACATCAAATATGGAATGATTTTTGTATTACATCCTCCAACAGCTTGAGTCTCCTCCTTAACCATTATATTCTCAAGATCATTTATTTATTATCACATAATGACGATTCAAAGAATTTAGGGTTTGCCCTTTACCCATGTTAGCTGTTTCTTTGGAGGAGTCTGCCACCTGCTGCACAGCTTCTTGAGCTGCCTGCACTGAAACACAAGACAGAGACCTGCAGTGACTGACCTCAGAAGGGAAAAACAAATGCTCTTAAAGACAAACCAGTGCCAATGCAAAAGCCTTGTCTCTGACTATATAACACATGACATTTACCCTGTTTCATCTTACAGCTGTAGTTTTGTACCTGCAGAATCTGTGACTCCTTTCGCAGCAGAGTGGCTCGTGCCTTTCAGGCTCTCAAAGGACTTCTTGAAAGAGGCCATGGCTCCTGTATTTGTCCTTGCAGCGCCCACACATCCATCTGAACTGAGAGCAGCATGAGCAGCTGTTTAATACCCTCTGTATGAGCCTGACACTCCCAGGCCTGCACGTTCCAGACAGATTAACCCAAACAAAACCCGTCAAAAAAAGGCCTGATCAGACTGGCATTTGAACTATGCCAGCATCCCGCCAAAGACAGGAGCCTGCTCAGCAGATTTTTACACATCATGTAATCAAAACCCCAGACAAGAGTGGGCAGAAAAGGAAACACGAGGACAATGGATAAAAGATCGTCATTGTGATTAACAGGCAGAAACAATTGATTTTTTCACAAGAGGTTTTAAAATCTCCAAACATTATGAAACAGCACTTACAAAGATTTCTTTTTTACTTTTTATTTACAGAGGAATGTATGTCTGGCTTAACACATAAACCTTTATATTGACAAGTCCTGCAATTTAAAGCACATATTGATATGACAACCATTATGATTTCAAGACATAATATATTGACTTTAACTTGTTAAAATCTTCAGTACACACAAACACACGCACACACAAACATGTACACTCTGTCCATTTCTAACAGATAGTTTACTGGAATGATTTCACAAGCAACTATAAAGATACAATGTAAAAAACTCTTACTTCAAAAATGTCCAAAGAAACTCCCAAAGAAATGCAAAAAAGAAAGAAAGAACCCACAAACAGGCATTGTCGACACTTAGGAGGATATTATTGTTTTCATATCATATCTGCTTGCAACCGGACATATTTATTTTTTCCACTCCCAATGTCTCATTGGAAGATGATGAACATCTATTGCACGTTTCTAACTATACAGATACACACAGGTACAAAGTCACAAGCCCCGGCTCTGGTCTCATTTCATTGGGAGGGAATCAAGGAAATGAGACAGAGAGGGCAAATCGTACATCTCAATTAATACCTACACCCAACACATTACATTAATAACATGACATTTACAATATATAATAATAAAAGATTTGTCTCAAGGAAGAACATTTTTCTGTGGGAATGCTTGTCTTTTTGTTGTTTTTTTGCAACAGGGGTATAATTGTAATAGTTTCAGCATTTGTCCTTTTTATTATTAGAAATATTATTGTGCTGCTGGTTGGATGGTGGCTCCGACTGGTGCTTTTACGCCTCTGGCTCATAGTCCTGGCTCTCCTGGGGAAAGAAGAATCGTTTGTAAAGACAAAGCTTCACATGTGCAGCACAGAGAAATTCAACTGTAAGACTTTTATTCAAACTGTGGTGAATTAAAATTCTTATCAATTGAGTTTAAGAAAAATATATGTGAGAGAAGACATGATTGCTCTGGGAAAGCCAATGATGTCACTCCATCACAGCTGTTAGTGATTCAGTGTCTCTCTCTCTCTCTCTCTCTCTCTCTCTCTCTCTCTCTCTCTCTCTCTCCAGCCAGCAGAGGGCAGCACAAGCCAACAGCAGCTTCAAGGACGCGTCGTGAGCACACTCCCATCATCCTTGTAACCCTGCACACGCCTCCTCCACACAAATAATAATTAAAAAAATAACACAACGCAGCCTTCAGGGATGTGCAACAGTCTTAAGTCATCAGGGGTTTAAAAAAAAATGCACAAGATGGATTTTTATTTCCAAATCCCCCCTGAGAAGGCTCATTCCCTCTGCAGTGCTTAGAATCCATATTTACAGCAATGCAGGGAGACCCTGACATTACCCAGAATGCACGGAGGCAGTCAGCGTCATCACCACACCCATCCAGGCAGAGCTTGCACGTCGCTGGTGTAGTGACTGATGGGGGAGGGGAAAGAGATGCGGAGGAGTAGCAGGGAGAGATAGAGGAGGACATGCACGATACAAGCTGCTGCCTCTGAGAAATTCACTTCTGATTTGCATCTCAGGGCAAAATCTCAGTTTGATTCCTTCAACTGATTAATATAATAATCCACGGATGGAGTGGGAAAGAAAATCCAACTGAATAAATGTATCATGATTAGAGATCACACTAAATCTCATATTAAATCTATCTTCAATAGAAGCTTTTAGAAATACTCTGAAATTGTATAAGAATATCAAAGGTATCTGGCTGCAGAGATAACTGTTGCTTAAACTATAATATGTCTGCAAGTAAAATCACCTCTTTGTATTATGCACATTATATGACGTATTTATTTTTTCGTAGCTATTTAAAAATCTGTACCCAAAGCAGTAGCTCCTGCACACTGTGTCTCGCCCCTCACAGCCAAGTTCCAAAAATAACCATCTGTGTCAGACTCCAATCTTTCCTCCACATACCGACACACACCCAGGGCTCTGTGTAGGTAGGCGGTGCTGTATTCACTGTGCTCCCTTTGTGGCAATTGGCTTGTTAAGCCCTCTGTTTTCATTTGTAGAGTAAAAGAAGAATAACCTCAGTGTGAGCTTGAGTGTTTGAGTGGTACATCGAGTGGAGGGCAAGTGTGGAGCACTATTGAAATGCAATAGAGCTAAAATGTGTAACCATGCAGAGCTGCTGAATACTAAAGAGCCTCCAGCTACTGTAAGTAAATGGACTCATCCCAGACTGAGGTTTTTATACAGGCTTATCATAAAACACACAGAAATCCATTTACAGTAAAACATGTAATTTAACCACATTGACAAAGGATCGTTTTTATTGTCGAGCAGAGTGTGTGTGGTGTAAGCCGATTACCTGCTGGTTCTCATCGTATGTCTCCCCTTCTGGCTCCAGCATCCCCTCTCCCTGGCCCTCCATGGCCTCCTGTCCGTACTCCTCAG